AATTATTTAGTACTTGTATACTAATATGTGAATATATATATATATATATATATTAATTTTGTTAAAATTTTATTTTATTAAAAATACAAAATATGAAAAGCAATTTTTTTTAATATATAACATAAATTCTATGTGCCAAATTGATATCTCCATTATTTATACCATCTTAGCATGCATTCATCACTAGTTTTAGTCTCTTAGCATGCATATTTTGCTTCTACTTGTCTCATTTGCATATATTTAGGAGTTAGTGTAGTTTTAGGAGTTGCATTGCACTTTGCATATATTTGGAGTTTTATTTAGGTACTAGAAGGAGTTTGGATACCAAGTGGTGCAATGGATGTGAGCTGGGAATAGAGCAAGGAGAAGGACAAGGTTGGTTGGGCCAATATCAATGATGATATCGATGTGATCTGATCGATATGGAGCATAGTGAGGTGAATATCGATGACTCAATATCGATACAGCAAGAGTATGATATACAGAAGCAGCATATCGACTAATGAGGACCTCGATACACCTTGATGAACCCGTACCAAGCAGTGTATCAACGTCCCGGATCGATACACCAGAGACAGGACAATACCGAGGTGCTGTATCAACATGAATCTGCTTTGTATGCCTTAACTAAAAGGCGATTGTATCGACCTTCACACCAAGGAGAGTCAAACCGATACACTCTTGAAGCATTCCATATCGACCACTGTATCGACCAGGCCATATCGATACAACCCACAAGAAGACTCAATATCGATGTGTGTATCGATGTGAGAGGCTGATATGATCCATCCGAGTCAGCCTATTTTTGGTTTATTCTTGGTTTATTAGAGGTTTCTAAGCTCTCCTATAAATACTAAAGTCCTAAAATAGTTAGGAAATTTAGATCAAATTATTTTCCTACTATTCTAGCATTAAAAACTTTTCCTTTTTCAGTTTTGCTTTGTTAGAACTAGTTTGATTTAGTGAAATTCTGCATTTGCCTTTAATATATTCTTGCTTATTCTGCTTTCTAATCATGCTTAACCATTATTTCTCTTTAGAATATGTGGTTTTGATTATGGCTAGTGAGTAGTCTTATTTAGAGTTTGAGATGGGATAGATTAGAAGGGTTTTAGGATTAGATTAATGATGTCTTATGCTTAATAAAATTGACTAGATCAGTCTTGACCAGACTTGTTTAGTATCTTGGCTTTCTCTTATGCCTGATAAGTGTTTGATGAAATGCTGCAATGAGTCTCTTAAAGGATTTGTTCTCTTAGCCTAAGGAATTAGATGTCTAAGGTGCATTTTAGCTTTATAGGATTGGAGTTCTGTTTTAAATGCTTGTTGATCATATGTTTGAGTAAAAGAATTTGTCTTGAATATGTGCTTAGCAAAGTGATTAGTATCAAAGAATTGAGCTAGTTATAAATGTTAATCATATGCTTAGAAGATAGCATTGTTTGAATGGTTTTGAAGCATCACTGGTTTAGTTCTAATCCCCTCTTAGTCAATAACCCCTATCTTAGAATCTTACTTTAATCTATTTGAATATTCTGCTTTAAATATGTGTTGTTTAGTCTTGTTTAGTTTGATTACAACTGCTTTCTTGAATTTGGCTTGACTTAAATAAACTGTTGCATTCTTAGTGTCTTATGAACTCAGACGGATTAATATCCAGTGTCGTCCCTTAATTTTGGGTGGCCTAAAACACATCTAAAAATGTTTTGGAGTTTTTATACATACTATGAAAATATATTAAAATTTGATTATAAATATATAATTTTTTGTAAATAACAATTTCCTATAAATTTAAACTAATAATAATTCAATAAATTCAATTACTTTTCTTAACTGAAAAAAAGATACATGGTGTTTGAAGAAAAGTAATTGAATTATATCAGAAAAAAAAATGCTAGGATTATATCTTCAGCAACCTCACCTGAGTCATCTACCAATTATCATATACGTATAATTAGTTTACTATTTTCAGCACTGATCGTTAAAAATATGGTAAAACTAACAACACAATTTTTAGGAAATTAATAATGTAGGTGAAATCTGATCACTAAAATTTTATAATAATATTTTTTTTTATTAAAAATCAATAAATTAAAATATGAAAAGCAAAAAAAAAAATTTTTGATATAAAACATAAAATGTTATGATTAATAAAATAAAATTTTAAAATATACGATTTTATGTTACAAGATTTTGTGTGTTTCATCTTTTTAGAAATCTTTTAAAACCAACCTCTGCAGACTTGGATCATAAAACAATTATGGATCAAAACACCAAGATCCAAACCCACTGCGACAACTACAGAAAACATACGAGAGTGGATGCCGATCAGCGAAGGAGCTGCTTTGATATAGCGTTTGAACCATATGTAATATATGCAAAGAAGTGAACTTAGTTGAAGTGGAAAATATCGAAAACCAAATATCTACATTATTAAAAAAAGACAAAGTAAATATGTAGGCCTAATACTATCGATTACATAAGCAACTAAATCCTGAATTAGTCCAAGAGAATATTACAAAAGAGTTCTTTTTCAAAGTTTAATTACAAAAAAACACTTTGTGCAACTAGAGTATTTAATTTATTGAAAAGACAATATTAACCTTTTCTATTTCTCTTTCTATTTTTTTCTTTTTATTTTTTTCTTTATGTTTCTCTCCCACTAAGCATATTTATGTTATTGTATCCATAAATTACCATCCATGCCAATATAATCGTACCAAATTCAGATATTTATCTCTAAGCTTAGGTTTATGTATGTCAAAGTTGATCTTACTATAAGATATATCTGTTGGTTGTACATTTGGATACTCACATATGGAATGGTCGAAATGGATGAACAAATATGTGTGTTTCATCAAATATCTATGCACACAAGTTCCTTTCTCAATTACTCATCTACTAAGTCTCTCCACGATATTATATCTACAGATTTCCATCCATGCCAATATAATATGTATCAAATTCAGTCATTCATGTCTATGCTTAATTTTAAACATGTCAAAATTAAACTTAGTATAAGACATATTCGGTGGTTATACATGTAGATATTCGCATATGGAATGGTTGAAATGAATTAATAAATATGTGTGTTTTATATATGCCCACATTTACCTTCCTTAATTACTCCTTCATTCCTATTTATGTTGTTATATCCACAGTTTACTATCCACGCCAACATAATACGTACAAATTCAAACATTCATCTTTAAGATTAGTTTTATACATGTCGAAGATGCACTTAGCATTAGACATGTCTGATGGTTGTACATGTGGATACTCACATATGGAATGGTAGAAATAGATGAACAAATCTATGTGCTTTGCAAGATATATATGCCCACAATTACCTTTCTCAATTACTCCTCCGCTAAGACTACCCATTATATAATATCCACGGATTACCATCCATGCCAACATAATACATACCAAATTCAAACATTCAACTAAGCTTAGTTTCAGGTGGGAATCATATGTTTGAAATGTATGGGTATATATAAGTGTGTACATATAGATATGTGATAATTGACATATATCTGTGGATGGTGGTTTATCTCGAAAATGACTACGAACGTATCCATACCCAACACATCCACTATTGACACTTATTCTACCATCTTCATAAATAATTTTACTCTATAAACCCATCCACGAAAAATCATGAAAATAAGGAAAAAAAACTACAAAACAGAGAAAATTATGAAAATTGATAAAAAAAAAGAATGATGATTCTATGAAATATATAATAGATAAAATACATGCGAAAAGTATGAAATAGTACAATCAAAGTATTTTAGTCAGGAAAAGAGATCTTTTATGTAAGAGAAGTCTTGATGACAAAAAAAAAATGTAAGAGAAGTCATAAAAGTGCTCTTATATGTAAATGTTTCTTAGTCCAAATAAGAATCCAGGATCAAAATGATACTGGTATAAATATGAAAAAATTCTAGAGATTGAAGAAGAAGTTAATCAAACCTTAAAACCAAAGTAATACCTCTGTTGGTTGTCAATTGAGATTGGACCAAGAATTGTTGAAAAATCTTGAATCTCACCACAAAAGTTTTTACTATAACAGATTTGATCTAATATAGAAAGTAGAATCCACCATAACAAAAGAGATTGTTCAAACGTTAGTCATCAGCTATTGGTCATAGAGAGTTATTTGCATTCATCCAAATCATAACCTCGATGTTCATGTTTCAGTTTTCCAAAAAGACTGTTTAATTTATTAAAAACTTATAATATTATAAATATTTTAACTTGATCAAAAATTTAAATATTATAAAATTTTGATTAAAAAGTTAACGTGATCAAAAATTTAAATATTTATTCTATTAAGATGTTATATTATAATTTAATTTAATCAAAATCTTCTTAATATTAGAAATATATTTATATAATCAAAAATATATCAATTTATAAATATTAACTTAATTATATATAATTTTAGATAATTAATTAATAATATAAAACTTAAAAAAATATAATGTATATTCAATATTTTAAATCAAAATTTAAATAATTTACTTTTTTTAAAGGTTGATACTTTTATAACTTAGTATTTTGCAGATTAATCTATGAGAACACATAAATTATTTTAATTCAATACAAAATTGGATAAACTAAGTCTAATAGTCTGCTTTACCATATCTAAATATTCAATTGAAATTCATAGAAAAGCAATATCAAAACTAATTATAAAATCTTACAATCAACATGCATTGTGCATTATGCATATTTGCAATTGCAAAATTGACACAACTCTAATTATATCATATATACTATTAACAAACATATAAAACCAATTAAAATAGTTTCAAAACCATGATTAAAAAAATTACTTAGATTTTTTATTTTCTACATTTCGTATATTATCACCTAGTATAAAGGTATATTTTGTCGGTTTTAAAAATAAGTTTTACCAATAGAATTCATTTGCAAATTACCAATTTGGCAAAAACAATGCTAGGATTATATCTTCAGCAACCTCACCTACTTACAGAACTATGTTCATCAGGATCGTTACGAAATACGTAAAAGATAGGTGCTAAAATTTCGTTCATCCCTTGAACATATCTGATGCCTTGATTTAACTTGGCAAACACAAGCAATATATTCTTCATAGATTCCTAGACATGTAAATGGAAACGTCACAGTGCTTGATTTATAAACAATCGGTGAAAATTTGCTAATGAGGACACAAAAATGTTACCTGATTAGAATGCGCAAACGATGATTCACCAGAGAAAAAAGGTATATCATAACTCAAAAATGTTACCAGATGTGTACGTATCCTACATCAAAAAAAAAGAGAGTTGATCTCGGAGCTGGTGCCTGGTGGACAAATTGAATACCATAACCCAGAAAAACCCCGGTAATGTACTGAGGTCTTTTTACAAGTTTTTAACAATGAAAGACCTGCACAGGATGTAGTACCTGGAAGTATGTATTCCAGATGCTCGTCTTCCCTAGGCTTAAAGGGTGGTCCTCATCAGTTATTCTGGATCGGGAAAGCATGCATTGGCTTTCACTCTTAAGCTCATAATTGTCAAATCCTTTGGACCTCACCAATCTCCATGTGATTTCTGACTAACTAACACAGATTCATTTAGAGGTACAAAGACATTTCAAGAAAAGATAGAAACTTTCCAGGTGAGAAAACCTAACAAAGAACTCCGAGGCAAGAAACAAAAGACCAGGACCACTTACAGGACTCGTGAGAAGCTCATCTGATATAAGATTGGAATCACTCCAACTTAAGATCACTCAATGATCAAGAAATTCCAAGCTTAAACCTGTGGAAGGTGGAAATGATGGTTGAGATGGAGGATGGAAGGTGACTGACTCGCTCAATCAGTGGTCAAAATAGATAGTTTGAATCACACAAACAATCTGATTTGTGGCTTCAATAGGACCAAAGTGAACCACACACTTAAGAACTAAAGAATAGAGAACAACTTCAAAGACTTTACTTTGAAAAGAAAACTTATGTTTATTAAAAATATATATTCAAGGGTAACTTTATACAAAGGATGAAATGAGCTTTATATACAGCTCTTACATGAGTAAGTTAACGTTCTAAAAAGATAGAAACAAGAAAAGAATCATAAAATTGAATACAAATTAGCTGTTGGACCATAATGAACAAATCGGCCAAATAAGGTAAGTGGGAGGCTCCTTGTATCTTGAAAGCTTGGGAAGAAAGTGGCACACCTTTGAAACACTTTGGAGGACGTAGGGAGGCTTCAGTACATCCCCAAGTTGAACATATGACCGTTGAGAAGATTCAAAGACCTTTGGTGTGAACTCCTTAAATGCGCCAAGTGTGAATATATCTTGTAAAGGAAAGTTGAAGTGCAAGAGGATTCGCCTAATCCTCTGAATGCTGGAGCATGGTAAGACATTTTGAGTGGCTTCTAGATGATTAATATACTCTCCTGGTCGCTAAAATCTGCTTAGTAAATGATTAATCCTGAGAGCTTCCAAATAAGGCAGGTTGAGCACTATCCGGTTTAGAAGTTAAATAAATTTTGATGAGTTAAGTTTCCAAAACATCCGGTTTTGTAGCTTGGTTCATTGTGGTTTGGCCGGTATAATTTATTTAGTACTCGCATATCTCCATCGGGTCCATTGAAGATCTGCCAACTTGTATCTTCAATATCTTTCTCATATGAACTCCTTTTTAGCTGATTCTTCTTCGTGATGAACTCTAGTTGAGTTTAGTATACTCTCCAAGTCCTGGTTGAGTGTGAATGCACGGAGGGATTGAGGTCTAGAAAAAACAAATCATGAAAGATAGTCTCTCCTTTATTTATGATATGTTCTCCAAGGGAGATCGTCTCTCCTTTACCCTTGGCTATACCATCATTTCCATTGATCCTTTGCTCCAAGGTTGATGGTACTCTCAATATTGTGTCATCCTCTCCTTCTTCAAAAGGTTTTATCCTCAAAACTAGTTTATCTGCACATAGATAACTCAAGTTAGTTTCTTGAAGTAAGTATGAGTTTAGAAGTTTACCTTGGATACAACTTTGTGGGTAGCTCGGTTGGGGTTGTGCTTGAGCGTCTGGTGGTACTTCTTTTATTAACATGGAGTAGATGGAACCATGTTTGTGTGGCTGACACAGAATCTCATCATCACTTGTGAAATCTCCTATCTCACTTATGTTTTCTCTCTTAGTTTTGCCTCTGATGTAGTTTGATGAATCTGGTGGCTCATGTGTCATGTATATCTCATTTGTTCCTGCATTAGTCTCTACACTTCTGGCAAGAAGCAAGTGTATTAACAAAGTCGTGGCATTGTTGAAAACAAAGGGATAATTTTCAGAATGAACATTTGCACTTTCAGGAGAAGAAACAATTTCTTGTTTCTCATTGACTTGCTGCTCAATGCTGCTAATGCTTTGGTCCGTTTCTAGAGCTGCTGCTCTACCTCCTGCTCCTTGTTCCTCTATATGTTTAATATCTGAAAATTTATCAATACTATTGGCAAGAAACATGTGTGTTATGGCAGTCATGGAATCAACAAGTAAACAAGTTTCAGCTTGAAACAATTCATTGGTTTGAAGTTTGATATTCAATTGTTCCATACTTGTTTGTGTTTTTAGAAAATGATTTTGATTCTTAGAATTATCTAAAGAATCTAAATCTTCTTCATTCTCTTATGTATTTAACAAACTCCTTATCACAGCCTTTGAATCATTAGAGATAAAATTAATCAAAGGACTACTTACTTGATTAAACTCCTTGGTGAGTTTGTTTTTGATGTCTACCACTTCATATTGGTTTACTGATTCATTCAGCTCGTGTTTAACTTCATTGGGGCTTATTCCCTTGGTTGTGTGCTCCATGATATGATCAAAACCTGTAGAAACATCTTTGGACAAAGACAAGTGCATTATACTAGAATTGGAAAAATTAAAACTTGTTTTATCAAGACAATCACTTAACTCAGATGAATTTAAATTCTGTTCTAGTGATGTTGATTTTATGACTTGTATTTCAGGGCAAGTTGCAGTAAAGTGTCCTCTCTTGTGACATCTATAACATGTTGGTTCTTTTAATTTTACAAAGCTAGAGTTAGAAGACTTACCTTAAAGTAATTTTCCTGGAGGTTCAAGTGAGGGTATGGGGATTGACTGTTGTTGAACCTCCCTCACCTGAATTGGTTTCTCAGCCTCTCTTGTAAATTTCTGAAACATAAGCCTCTTAAAAGTGTAGCTTTGGTTGTGGACCCTCTGTACAAACTCCCTATACATTCGCTGCTTGAGATCTCCCCAAGTAAGAATGGGCTTATTGTAGTGGGACAGAAGTTCTTCACTTATCCACCATGAAGAAGCTTCTCCAACAAGTGAGTTAACAGCTGTGGCTAGTCTCTCTTCTTTTGGGATGTTGTGGAACCGAAACCAATACTCAAATTCCCTCTCCCAATTCATATAAGCTTCTGGCCCTTGCTTATGACCTGAAAAGGTTATGATTTGAAGATCAAACTTTTAACAACTATTACCTTGGTTGCTTTCTGTTTGGTAGGTGTAACATGGTGAAGTGTGGTCTGGCGGTTCTGGCTCCATGTCACCACGTCCTGGCTCACCTTCTTCCCATCTCTCAACCTCATTGATGTCCTCACTCTCATGAGCATGCTTATCTTGGTATTCTAATTCTTCACCATTATGCTCAGTTTCTTCAAAACTGATTTGAGAATCAGTTTCTTTACACCATGGCTTGTCTTCATGGTAAGAGCTGATTTCTTCCTCATGTGTATAAGGCTCTGAGAAATGGTCTTCATCATGTAATTCTCCATGTTCAGCTTTAGGGTCGTGGTTTCCTTTTCCTAGACTGAATTGAGAATCAGTCTCTTCATGTCGTTCTTCTTGATCAGCTTCTTCTTCTCTAGACCAACTATGATAGCTTATGTTGTCATGGCTATAATCTGGCGGTTCTGGTTCAATGTTTTCACCCTCAAGCTCTTCTTCAAAGTCAGAGCTTGAGTAGTCATCTCCTGGCCACGGTGGTGCCTCATAGTCAGCCCCCTCATTGGAAAAGACTATGCTTTCTTCTCCTTGGCTCCATGTATCTTCTTCATATAAGTAAGGACATCTTCTTCAATGTCAGCCATCTCTTCTTTTCTGCCTCTTTATTTTGGTACTTCGTAAAAGTTACAAAAAGAAGAGGACGTGAATAAACTTGGATCAACACAAAAAGAAGTAAAGAGTTAAAGCAAAAGTAAATAAATGGAAAATTCCTCTTTTTTTTCTTTCTGTTTTTGGTTTTAATTCAAACAAATAGAAATAAATTAAAAGAGCAAACTTTTTTTATGTTATTGGGACGAAATAAATTCAGAAACAAACAAAAATAATTGAAGGTGACTGACTCCCTTAATCAGTGGTCAAACTAGATAGTTTGAATCACACAACCAATCTGATTCGTGGCTTCAATAGGACCAAAGTGAATCACACACTTAAGAACTAAAGAATAGAGAACACCTTCAAAGACTTTACTTTGAAAAGAAAACTGATGTTTATTAAAAAATGTATATTCAAGGGTAACTCTTTACAAAGAACGAAATGAGCTTTATATATAGCTCTTACATGAGTAAGTTAATGTTCTAAAAAGATAGAAACAAGAAAGAAATCATAAAATTGAATACAAACTAGCCGTTGGACCATAATGAACAAATCGGCCAAATAAGGTAAGTGGGAGGCTCCTTGTATCTTGAAAGCTTGGGAAGAAAGTGGCACGCCTTTGAAACACTCTGGAAGACGTGGGGAGGCTTCAGTACATCCCCAAGTTGAACATATGACCGTTGAGAAGATTCAAAGACCTTTGGTGCGAACTCCTTAAATGCACCAAGTGTGAATATATCTTGTAAAGGAAAGTTGAAGTGCAAGAGGATTCGCCTAATCCTCTGGGTTCTGGAGCATGGTAAGACGTCTCGATTGGCTTCTAGATGATTAATATACTCTCCTGGTCGCCAAAATCTGCTTAGTAAATGATTAATCCCTAGAGCTTCCAAATAAGGCAGGTTGAGCACCATCCGGTTTAAAAGTTGAATAACTTTTAAACCGTAATGAATTTTTGCATGAATCCAATTCGCCTCGGTTCTTTGATGAGTTAAGTTTCCAAAAAATCCGGTTTAGTAGCTTGGTTCGTCGTGGTTTGGCCGGTATAATTTATTTAGTACTCGCATATCTCCATCGAGTCCATTGAAAATCTGCCAACTTGTATCTTCAATATCTGTCTCATATGAACTCTTTTTTAGCTGATTCTTCTTTGTGATGAACTCTAGTTGAGTTGAGTATGCTTTTCAAGTCCTGATTGAATGTGAATGCATGGAGAGATTGAGGTCCAGAAAAAATAAATCATGAAAGATAGTCTCTTCTTTATTCATGATATATCCTTTATCCTTGGCTAGACCATCATTTCCATTGATCCTTTGCTCCAAGATTGATGGTACTCTCAATATTGTTTCATCATCCTTATAGTGCTTGTATTGGGATCTCTTTTGTTTCAATTCCGTTGACCAGAGAGAACATTCAGGTGGCAAGTAGCCAAGCAAAAGCTGCAAAGAGAATCATATTTAAACAGCCTAAGTAAAGGACTTTCATATAGAGATACGACTCCAAGTCTCAGTGATCTAAGCATTGATGCACTATTCTGTTTTCTGTAAACTGATTTCCAAAATAAGAAGAAGCCAAAATCATAACAAGAAGAGCGGATCCCAGGAGAATTTGGCAAACTCTGTAAAGCTAAACTCCTCAATTCATTCATGTTGATCACTTTCTCAATTAAAATCACAACATGCTTGGAAGTTGAAGACAAGAAGAATCTGAAATTCTGCAACAGGAGAAGCGAAAAAAAAAGGAAGGTTGCATTGACCTCCACTGTGAGATGGGCCTGGCGGGACAAGTTCTCGGCCGAAGGACCAACGGAGTTTCTATATTCGCCACTGCCGCCCCCAGGAACGTTGCTACCGTTCCGTGGCCTAGGCGACGGAGATGGAACCGAAGAAGCGGTGGAAGGCGGATGGGCAGGATTAAGCCTGGAAGCATCGGAATTTGATTCTGTCGACGGAATTTTAGTGGAGGGGGAACAGCGGAGGAAAGCATCATCGTTTGTAGGCGGCGGAGGAGGAGTAGACCACATGGTGCCGTTCATCCATTCCGGTATCTTTTTCCTCACCATTCTCTAGGACTGATCAATCGATTAAAAGTCGCGAGATTCAATTTCCGAAGTTCCGAGAAGATCAAATATGCTCGAGAAAGGTTCTGCGAGTTGGTGATTGTGGAAATCTAAGGTAGGGGTATTGGATGATTGATTTTAAGAGAATACAAAAGAATTATAAAATAATTGATTTTTAAGTAATTTAAAGTTTTTGTTGAGAATTTAAATCAATTCTATCAAAATGACAGCAAAAATGGTAAAAATTGGTTTTTTACAAAATTTCATTGTAATTCTATTAAATTTCTTTAAAATGACAATAGCATAAGAAGAACACTAAAATTGAATAACACCAGCAATTAATAGAATTAGAAAATCACTACATTGAATAACACTAGAATTTAAAGTAATTTAAAAGAATGACTTCAAATATTGAATCCAATAACACATGAATTTAAAAGAATTTGTGAAATACAATATGGAATAACAATGGAATTTAATAGAAAACCTAATTCCTTCTAATTCAATTAAATTCTTTAATTGAATACCTCCCCCTAAGTTCGTAAATGTTTTTTCTTTCTCAGAAGAGAGAAAAGGACCATTCGGTAAATGAGGAGGTCACGGACAAGTAGGGGCGAATCTAGAGTAATTATGTATTTATTCACAATTTTTTAATTTATTTATTCAATTTTTTCTGTTTTGCAAGGGAAAATCTTAAAGTAATTTATGTTGTCAACAAATAAATCTAACTTTAAAATGACAATAGAATTAAGCAACAATAACTATGATTTATGGTATTACCATAGAAAGGTGATATTACAAATACACAAGATGAGTCATCAAAAGTGATGGACTCAATTAACCTTGTCCAGTGGTATTTGTTCTCATGTGATCATATAACTATGCTTGACTGCTTCATATACAATTTCCATGTGTTTCGATGTCTTCAATAATACTCACAACAACTACAGATATTACCATTTCATTAATCGTAATTTTATCTTACAAAAATTTCAGCTTAAAAAACTTATTATATTAATATATTGTATATGAAAACCATCTCAATTTTCCATCTTAATTTAAAGTAAGATAAATTAATAAACATGATATATATATATATATATATGGCAAGTATTCTCAAACCTATTACTATACAAAATTGAGGGGTTATACATCATGCTTGCTTAGTTAAGTTTAATCGGAAAATTTTTAGAGTAATCGTTTCATTTTTAAAGTTTCTTTTTAATGTATGTGGTAAAATTGATATTTCCAAGATATCTATTTTTGTGTTTCTATTTGTACCCTAAAAACAAATTTATACTATATTTTTTAAATTTCAAAAACATTTTTTTTTATTTCTGGTCGGTTTTTATATTTACATTTTGTTTAAAATATTTAAAGAACAAAAAAGAGAAAAATGAAAAGATAGCAAGCGATTTTATCATAAATTTCATATTGGTTACTGAGAGTTTATATGAAAAAAATGAGATTAGAAAAAATAAATGAGATTATTTGTAAAGAAATGAAAAAATAGTAGGGAAAAAAATATAAAAATAAATGAGATTCAAAGAAAATATAAAAATGAAAAGATTTAGAGAAAAATAAATTTATATGGACTATTGAGATTTTATATAAAAATAGTGAAAACTCTAGCTTCGATTATAGAAAAATTCCATAAAAAAAATTCAAAATCAATAAAGATAGTAGGAAAAATTCCATAAAAGAACAACATGCATTAGAGGTGGAAAGGAATGATGAATTCTTTTATTAGAGTAAGTGATTCCATAAGATCGTTTATCATAAATAACTCTAAGCTTGAGTAAAGTTATGAATAACAATTGTGTTTAAGTTATTATCTCTTTTACAAGTTCCAGCACATGACACTCTCACTGTGGTCCAAGAACATCAACTCAACAACTAGGTCATCTTCGTCCACCCCAAACCAGTAGTCTGGTATACCTTTGATTTCAATCTTGCTCATATCATTGCTTTGCAGATCATAGCAAAGAATGTGAAAGGGCGAAAGGAACTCCTCTGATTTCAGGAGAAGCTTGCCATTTTGAGTTGTACCTCTTATCAAGAATGTAATGCCACTGACCAAATGCATATGGGAAGACTGCAAAACACGACTCTTACGCGACCAAAACTGAACTAGTGTGAAAAGATCGAATTATTTACATTGTATCATTAACTTATAAAAGAAAAAGAAATATTCTTTTACGCATTGCAATTATCATACAATAAAAAACAAAAAAGTAACAGTCATTAACAGCCTAGGATCAAGAATCATTCACTGTCAATGCAAGAAATATCAAACTTTTCTACAGTTTAGAATCAGAAACACCTTAATCGCAAGAGTATGAAATTGCACATACATTGGCTTACAGCGGCATTAGTAGAATAGTTTGAAAGGTTTTGAAACGCCTAAAATTTATAGATATTTATAACGTAGATAGGTCACAAAAAAAATGGTTAAAGGATAGTAATAATGTAATTTAAAAATATATTAACTTTTGGAGTGAAAACAAGTATTTAAATTTTCCTAAATTGCACAAGTTTTGAAAATGAGATCTTGCAGGTGATTCATAAGACTTGCTCCACATCAGAAATTATAAGAATATGAAGAATGAAATGCTGATTCCCCTCTCGTCTTGAATCTTCTTCTTGTCGTTCTCATTTCTCTTTTCCTCACCTAAATTTCATTTTCTTTAAACAAACTTCAAAGGTTAATTTTTACATCTTCGGTTGTTTTCTCAGGTGGTGGATTGGTGACATTGGTCAACATCTCTTCGGTTTTTTTTTTAAATGCTTAAGGTGGTGAAATTTTTTTTTTAATCTAAGTCAAAACAAATATCAAGCTGTTTGGCTAATGATCTAACGCATGGGATATTTATATAGCGAGATATAAAATTAACTATGCCCTTTTCAAAAAATAAAAGAGATGTGCTTATTTTCCATTATTTTATTTATAAAACAGTACATATATTTTACAGCGCCATCTTATTGTTCTTTGAAGACTAATAAACAATAATTAAAAAAATATTGGAATAATTTAGAAAGTAAGATGTAGATTTGCGATAATATTATTTCTATATATATGTAAACTTTCCCAAACTAATAAAATATTCTAAAAATATATCAAGATCTAGAATTTAATTCAATTCAATTCATAGACGGTCCGTAAAATATACATCATGTTTCCTAAATTATTCTACTAAAAAAAAAAATCTTTTTACCATTTCTGAAATTGTCAGTGGTAGACTTATGCCAAATTGCTTCTATTGATCTGCTCTTTATCTTTTTGAGTAAAATTCTGTTCTTTTTTTATTTGGAAGAAGGGTTAAAACAATTTTTTCGTATTGATATTAAACTATTAGAATAAGAAATTACTTTGTAATTATTTAATTACATGCCAAAAACTTTAAAAGTGTGAATTTGACAACCTAATGTTTTCCCTTTACTCTTATTACCATTTTGACAGAAAATTATGAATTATATGCAAAAAAAAACTACTAGAGGAATTATGAATCATATGCAGAATAATAAATTGTAGACATTTTTTTTACACACGTATAAAAAGAATATGAATATAATTTTATTGCTAAATGGAGAAGTAATATTTAATTTTAAAAAATAAGGAAGCGGAAAATGCCAAAGGATCCGTTACACTTTATTAATCTTCTTCATATGAAATAAAGATATATATAAATATTCTGATACGCAAATTTACTTTGTACATTACCGTTTGTTTAGCTTACAAAAAATTAATGTCTTTTTCTCTTTTATTAAATCAACAACTCTGAGACAGAAGCTCACAACCGAATATCAATATTGAAGATCGCTCCTTGGGTCTTCTTTCACAACCGAATATCAATATTGAAGATCGCCACTTGGGTCTTCCTCAGCAAAATTCTTTATTAACAGTACTGTAGGCTATCAGAAGAATTATGAATTATATGCAGAATAATGAATGAATTGTAGACAAAAAAAAGAAATAGCAAAATTGTGAAAAGTAACTAAAGTATGCAAACAATGCCCTATTAAAAAAAAACTAAAGTATGCAAACGAAAAATAGAAAATTAAAACTTTGGAATTAATCTTTTTTAATTATGTGTTGATTAAAAAGATAACCGAACATAAACCGTGAGGTCCAAAAATATTGACGTCAGACGTCAATATTAAAGTAAATATTGATCTTTTGGCACAATAAAATAATGCTTCTCAATTTTGACCTTTTATAGAGCGGTTGGAATCCACAGCCACAGGTAAATGCTTTGACCTTTTTATTGGTATTCTCATTTTCGAAGACTGAAAATGCTTTGACCTTTTTGAGGAAAGTTTATATATACGGAAATGTAATATCGGTACTTAGTAATTTAAAAACAATTTTGAAGAACTTGTTATATTTATCAACTTGGAACATTATCCTTGTGTAGCTCACAAAAATTTCTCTGTAAAATCAACAACTTTGACACACAAGCTCACAAAAAATAGATTTAGAATATTATTTTGTTATAGTAAGTAAAATAATAGAAGAATACATTGTAGCACCAAGTTTCAAGGAATTGATAGGGAAGCAGAGATCAAGGAAATGCTTCAACAGCAGAGTGGCAAGAAACATAAAACTTCTCAAAGTGGAGCTGGGAGATCCTTCATTATCAAATCCCATCAACCATCATCCTACATTCCTGGTTCCTTCAGCGATTCGAATGATGAAAAGTAACGGAACCCTAGAAAAACCCTAAATTGATTACACTGAAGACTTAAACACGGAATCACCTTGGCCGGATATGATGCGATGTGTGGTCTGGTCTCAGAGATCATGAGCTTGTCTTGATTCCTACTCTTGTGTACACGAACAAGACAAAATTCTTACAAGAAAGCGCCACGAATGAACAGAACTTTCATGCAGCTGAAGGCTGGGATGTTACAGAACATCCTCGTTGGTGGTTTTGAGTCATTCTCGTGCACGAACCTGAAGGCACCTTACTGATGACAAAACTATATCACCAATAATCACCACATGAACAACTTCCGTCTTTGAAATGATGAAACTGTCTTGCATCTCTCAGTAGAATATCTCTTTGGCTCCTCTTACTAACATATTTCATCAGAGAATGACAATCTCCGCAGATTCTAAGGTTCTTAACGATCCTTATCGCGGTTCCAGGAGCAGTTCTAAGAAGCCCAAGTGCAAGAGCCAGTTTCTCACTGTGGATTCCCGTAACATTTTCCTTCTCTTCTTCTTCAATGTCATGAATGGACCAATCAGCTCCTGGAATGTATCCACTCTCAACAGCAAGCGAAATGATCTCCTCAAGCTTCAAACATACCTCTTGTGCTAGCTTATGAGAACTATCACCTGCTGCAAATTTGTTCAGTTGACCGTCTATTTCGATATAACTCCATCCCTTGCACCTTTCTTTGACTTTCTTCTGCGATGGTACTCTTCCTTTCTCTGCATCTTGACACTTCTCTTTAGCTGCATTTGTTTTGTCTAAGAAAATGTAACTACCCCGAAGCTCTGGTTCAATCTCCAAAAGATTTTGCGACACCATTTCACACCTTCTGTTACTCTTGTGCGCCTTGCAAGCACGATAGAGTGCAGCCCATGTGGTAAGATCAGGACTTATAGGCATAGTTTCTATAAGCTCGTGTGCTTCCTTCAACTTCCCTGCTCTACCTAACAGATCAACGACTAGCACATAATGTTTCAGTGTGGGCTCAATGGCATAGTCAAGCCTCATGCTATCGAAGAAGTTAATTCCCAAGTCTATTTCGCCTGCGTTCAAACATGCAGTTAGAACTGCAAGAAATACAACCTTGTCTGGCTTCTCTCCTGTATGCATGCCACAAAATGTGAGCAATTAAAATTCGATGAATTAAGAGACGACAAAGAAATGAGAAAAAAGCTAAACAGACCTGAATACATCATTTGTCTGAAACAAAGGATAGCCTGTTGAAACCGTCCATGAACCGCCCAACCTTGTATCATAGCAGTCCAAGAAAGAATATCCTTACGTTTCATATTACTAAACACAGTAGCCGCACAGTCAACTTCCCCACATTTTGCATACATGTCTACGAGAGCTGTCCCTATAGCTCTATCTAATTTCATCCCACTGTCCAAGATATAACCATGAATTCTTATTCCTGATCCAAGAGCACCGGATTTTGAACACGCAGAGAGCGCAGCAGCAAGCGTGTACTCATTAGGCTTCAAGCCCTTCTCCAGCATCTCAAAATAAGTTGAAATCGCAGTTTCATAGTGGCCATTTCGAGAAAACCCATTAATCAAAGTCGTCCAAGAAACCACATTTTTGTCTGGCATTACTTCAAAAAGCTGCCTTGCTCTGTCCAACTCGCCGCTATCCAGATAACCCTTGATCAAAGTACTCCAAGATCCTGAATTTCTCTCTGGCATGGATCCAAAAAGTGCTGTAGCCATTTTCATATCCTTGGCTCGACAATACCCATTAATCAAAACATTCCATAGCAAGATACTCCCCTTTTTAATTCTCTCAGGACTTTCTTCGAACACTTGGAATGCATAGTTTAGTTCTCCCGTCTTGGCATACATATCGACCAAAGAGACCCTGACGAAGGAATCACAGCCAACAAAATTCTTCAAAGTCGCGGCATGGAGAGCCATACCCAACCATCTAAACCCTAATTTGGAATTAGACTTGAGTACAGACGGGAAGGTTAGCCGATCAGGTCTCACACCAAGCCTCAACATGAGAATGAAATGACGAACCGAGCACTTGAAACGGGCATTCTCCGTCAAACCACGGATCAAAGCATTGAAAACAAACAGATTCTTCTCTTTCAAATGTCTGAATATCGAGAGGCTATAATCCGGGGACTTGAGAAGAGAAGAGCCAGAAACCAGCTGAGCAGCGACGCGGCTACTGAGAACGCCGCCACGGAGGATCTGGGCGTGAACACGGCGGAGACTTACGGTTTCTTTGCAGGCATGAATCAGAGATATGAAGTGAGACTCGTCCGGCGAGGCTCGACCATCGACCGGAAAACATATCTTGCCGGGAGAAACCTTCGGTTTAAAAAGAACATAAAGAGATTTCATCGTACCCCAAACACAATCAACGTCAGATCGTCGCAGTATGAATTTGCTAAATATTTAAACCGAATTGAACCGGATATTGCTCGATATTCATATACCGTATCTAACCCGATTGGTGTTTAATGAAGATAATTAGCTGCACTATTCGTAGAAGAAACTAGACACACACGACTAAACAAATCACGAAAGGGATTTTGTTTTGGTCTCCAAATTTTGAACGCTCACTTATTAAGACAAAACAATAAGAATGTCACTTGCGAAAATATTAATACATTGTTGAAAACCTTAATATTTTTCAGAATTTGACGCAATACCAAAGAGAAAGAAATAGAAGACAATAAAGCAGCTATCGATATAAAGAACTCCAAAGAAAGGGTTGTTGATGGCGGAAATAATGCAGCTAGCTTAAACATTTTTTTATTTTTGGTTGGTTTTTACAGCGTTAAAAGATATATACTAACCTAAAGGGGAAAAAATGGTTAAAAGATTTAGTTGCTTCCTTTTCCTCTATCGTGTTCATCTTTTCAATACTGTGGTTTTGTAATTTTAGTTTTTATAATCCTAAGAAAAAACAAAATGCTGTAGAAAAATGTAAGAGAAAAAACAAACTATAATCGTGGTTGGCTTATGGGGTCATAAAGAAAAGAGTGAAAAAGTATAACCGTGGGTGGGTAATAAATATATGTCGAGTCGCTTCCCGGAAAATAATCTCAACATCTTCAATATTGAATATACTTCTCAACCTTTAACAATTTTTTTTTGTATATTTGAAAACCCCATTAACAAAATTTAAAATTAATCAGAACCTAAATAATATATTTATAACATAATTCAACAACCTGTTCCCAAAAAAATAAAAAACAACAATCTTTTAATTTACAGTATCCGACGTTCTCTCGTGCATTAAAGTTGAGATGGATCTTCTATCGTAATTCAACAGTAAGCGCGGATAATAAAGAATATTGAAAATAACATTCATTCTTTTTGTAGGTTAATAATAATCGTGAAGAAAAAGAAGAAGATTGTGTGGTTAAGTTTGAAGCAGAATCATAATCTCTTTTGCTGTTGCCATTACGAATAGTGCAAGGGTTCTGTTCACGAGGTTGGGGACAATAACATATAGCTATACTCAAAAGTCTTTTGTTGTTTTTATATTTCTTCGTGCACGAACCAACTAATTGAAAATCATATTCTAAGGAGAATCTAACGTATAATCGGCAACGTTCATGACGGAGATATAACTAAGCAAATGTTAATCTAACCAATGAACCCTACCAAGTAAACAATCGTAAATGAAGCTTCTAAATTTCAAATTAACAATTGCAAATTATGTAAAATGTTATGATGGATTATATCCTTCGAATGCAGCTCCATCAAACCCCCTGAGATATCTCTTGCAATAGACAAGGCTAGGTCCATGGTGCTTACCAGCTTCAGTAAGCTTCTCAATGCGACCCTGTGAAAATTAGTCAACCATGTTACAGAGACTTCTTACAGATACTAACGACCAAATTGTTGTTTGCTACAAAATACAAGTGATGTTTATATTATTACATACACATTTCGATATATATATGTGATTTTTTTTATCAAGACACAATATGACTTTTATAGATACAAAATTTCGTTATATATGTGAATTTTTCTATAAAAGATGTATAGTGTATACTTTACTTTGTGTTGGTATCAGAATATTTCTATACAAGAGGGCTGCGCTTTTATTGTGGGATGAATAACTGGAAGGTTCCGGCGAAGAATCTTACGGCAAAAATCAATTATATATAGTTAGTGTTAACATATATAGCGTTATATATATTTTTTATATAGTTATAAGACAAAAAAAAGCATAACAAAAATTTATTAATAATAGTGTATCTCTCTATTGATACACTCTCATATCGTATGATATATGCTGCGTCCTCGCCACCCAAAAGAATCTAGCTCTATTTATAAACTACACTAGAAATTTAAAAATGGAACTACATATATGGAATATTTATGTGACGTTGGAAGAGTTATGTTTATCCCCCATATTGGATTAAGAAGATAACATAATAATAATATAACAAAATTGGTTTCACAAAAGAAAAAGATTTCTATGAAAAAATTATGAAATTATTGAAAAAATAGTTGTAGTTACTAATATCAGAACTTTATTTTACTTTAAGAAAGCAACTCCAAAATAAATAAAAATTGAGAAGGTCCTAATTCCTAATAAAATGCAGTGCAATCATATACAAATACAGCCTCCAAAATAAATCCCAAGAATGATGATACAGTAGTTACAAAAAAATAGGAATAGTGGAGTGTGATTAGCCTAAAACTCGAGCAAGAACACTTCATAAAGGGTTACGATTCATCCACGTGTCAGAAGCCATTTAACCAAAGATCTTTTACATAAGAAGCCATTTAACCAAAGATCTCTTACATACGACTTAGACCATCTCCATCGGTACATATCCATATAGGGTTTCTAAACATTTTTTAATATTATTATTTTTTTTTCTTTTAAAAACTTTTGTGTTTGATTTTAATTTTTTTCTCTTCCATTGGTAGAATCTCTAATGGGGTTTTAGAAAAAAAATTATATTATAAAATTTATATTCATTTGAAACAAAGTAACTCTAAGAATCAAACAAGTGAAACAAAAGAAACACATCCAAAATCAAACAAGTGAAACAAAAGTAACTCTAAAACTACATATTCATTCCAAAGAACATGAACTAAGAACAAAGAACAAAAAGCGATTTCTATATGATAACGAGAGGAGTCTTTATCTCTTCTCTTGCTGGTGTCCCCAAAATCCAATTCACAAAAAATATAGCAGAACACAACTCTGAGAATTTCGAACAGAAGGAAAAAAGAAGAGAAGAGAAGAGCCAATATGTTTTTTTTACCTTAATGATCTCCACCAATTGATCAACACGGGTCTCTCCAGGGAACATAGGCTGTGTTTACATTGTAAAGCAAAACAGAGGTTCAAAGAAAATGTCTCAGATCAAAAGTTAAAAAATTCAGAAGAAAAAAATTGCTTACATGTCCAAGAAAAAGGTCAGCCATATGTAAGATATACTTGGTTCTCCTGGAATCTGCAACCAACAAGACATCACTCACACTCACTAATGCTTTCTACGACAGACAGGAAACCTGAAAAACTGTTCCATTAGTATTCTTCCAGATTGTAAAACTGTTGTTTACAACACTGCACAGGTGAAGAAAACATTAAAATTCCGTTTTTATGCAATCGCAAGTTGCAAAGAAATAAGTTTCTAAGCTAAAAAGATGCTAATGAGATTTTTTCACAGATCAAATATACAAAAGTTAACAGCAATATATGGGTATGTCAACTGCATTAGAATCAAAATGCAAGATGTAGAATTGATATATTACCTCAGGCAAATGATTAAATCCCAAAAAGGGATAAACAATTTTAGCAAGCAGCACATTCATCAAACCACAAAAACTTTCAGAAATATCGTAGCTTTGTGTCTCTCTAGTACCAGCTAAAGACTTATGGGTATCACTCGAAGTTATCCAAAACAATCATTTCATTGCTATGAAGATTCAAGATATTCCTAAAGATCAGTTAGTGCATTCAAACACCAAAGACAGGAGATCTTCTCATCCGCAAAAAAAAAGGAAAAAAGCGACAGGAGATCAGGCGACGCAAACATATAGATGGCTCATGCAAAACTATCTAAACACGCCAATTCCAAACTGAAAAAGAGAAATCAAAGGCTAAATCCATTTATAATCCCTGGGATAAGAAGAGTGAGATAACTATACCTTTGCGATCTGGTTTGTGACAATGCTTAACGAGGCGAATGCTGTCCTTCGCAAAGTCTCTAAAGAGGATCGACGACAGAATCGATGGCGTCATCGATTTCCGATGGCGTCATCGATTTCCGATGGCTTGAAGAAGGAGAACGACGTGAGATAATGATGATCAGAGTCAGGATTCTGCTGTTTTCTTGTTCGGATTTTCAGATTTCACCTGAATGGTGGATCGGAGAAGAGAGAATCGTTGATCGGAAAAGAGAGAATGTGGCATCACGGTCTCGTCGTTTAATTTTCTCTTTATTTGGTTAATTTTTTTAATATAAATAGGTGCAATTAGAAATTGACACGTATGGATCTCTAAGCATTTCTAAAATACCTTGAATAAGCGATGCCTCTAATAAAAGTAACATTTAAATCATTTCTTTTAATCATTTTAAACTTAAAACCCCATCTTAAAACCCTTCTAAATACTCTAATGGACATGCTCTTACACATGCGGCTACTTCCTAGACAGATATAATAAAGACTCATCACTTTGTATTATTTTATTTTTGTGTTAATATAAATAAAAGTCATTTCTCCATATTAATTTGGCGCTATTACCATTGAAGTTATTGTTTAAATTATTAGAATTTGTAGATCTTCTTTATTAACAACGTTGAGGAAGAAGAAGAATAGAGATTAATAATTAGTTCTTCTCGATAGTAAACGTTGTGTTAAAATATTACTAATAAAAAAACCAGGCTATAAAATAGTCACGCGTGATTCTTAATGGTAATATTGTTCTTTTTTTTTTTGTTGTCTTTGTAATATTTGAAACCCAACATGGATAAAGCAGAGATTACAAACATTTCGCAGGCCCGTAACATATTAAACTAAAGCCCAAAAAAACTAAAGTTACAAGCCAAAACACGTGTAAGGACACATGTAACCTAATAAAAACACAACCAAGACACGTGTCATAAAACGAGAATGTTCGAAGCAGAGCCGTCTCTCCACCGGTGGCGAAGCTTGAATCTTCATCACCTCCACAAGCTGCATCATAGAACCACTACTTGTGCCTTTTGCAATTGATCACCATAGGAAATTGCCCAGATCTTCAACATAACCATCGAAGAAGAAAGATGGGAATCACTGGAAGATCAGAAGACAGAATATTTGTCAAAACACTTCGGAAGAAGCTTCGACGTTACTTACTCTGCTTTAGATCTACCAAAATTGATTCCAAAACTCGAGTCTTCAATCATTAAGAGAACCAAAATAATCTCATGCTGGTTGAATAAATAACACAAATAAATAAGCTATGAGTAATTAAAAAAGAGAGGGAAGGAGATATAGATAGAGAAAAAAAGATGAATACGACCAACCAACGCGCACATATATATCTTGGTGGGTTCCGCAAACTTTGCTATGTCAGTATTTATTAAGGAACATAAGGTTCCTTTGTGAACATAAGGTTACATTTATATTTTGTTTAAAATATTTAAAAGAAAAAATATAAAAAGAGAAAAGTGAAAAAATTTAGAGCAAAATAATAACTGCGATGGATAATGATGATGTAGTTTAAGAAAAATATTAATTTTTGATGAAAAAACTATGTTGCATGGAAACAGAAACGGGTACGTGAAAGCGAAACGTTTCGAAACGCGGAAACGCTATTTTAAAAAAATATAGAAATGGAAACGTTTTGGAAACATATATATATATATATATATATATATGTTAAGTATTAAAGATCTAATTATAAGTAGAATATTTAAATCAACAAAATCTAATATATAATTTTTACATAATTAATAAATTATAAAAATTAAAATATGTAAAGTCAAAAATTTAGAAGATTTTCTTTATTATCAATTTTATTAGTTTCATTGACCAATCTATCTCTAATTCTAATTCATCGAGAGAATAATTTTCAAACTTAATAATCTCAAAACTAATCTTAATTACCAAATCAAAATATTTATTATTTACTATAAATAAGTAAATTGATTATTTAATTTAATTTTTATAATTATTTATTTGTTCTATAAAAACAAGAAATTAGTTTTTATCTTCTTTTCAAAATGAAAACGTGTGTTTCTAAAATGGAAACACGTTTCCAAATTAAAATTTCTAGGAAACGTGATTTTTCGTGTTTCCGACGAGTTTCCGAAAGTTTCGGTTTCCGAAACGTTTCGGAAGCGGGAAACGTACCTCGGACAGAGTTTCCATGCAACCTAGTGAAAAAATGTATTTAAATTTTTCTAAATTGCATAAGTTCTACATCAGAAACTAAAACTATAAGAATCTCCTTTATATAAAAGGGAAAGATTTCTTGATCTCTCAAGGCCTCCACATCAGCAGAAATAATTCCAAAATAATCGATCAATCAGATTTGGCCATTTTAAATTTTGCCACATCACGTCATGCTCTTTGTTGGTTTAATCGGAAACTCACGTTTTCTATACAACGTTTCAGTTTCTGATTTTCTCTTTTCTGCAAAACGCCTACAGCCCTCAAACCTTCCCCTCTTCGATGAAACTTTTTGGCTTCTCATCCCCAATTACAGCAGCATCGTCAATCTTCTTTTTAAACAAATAAATTCGTACTTCAGGTCAAAAGATTATAAAGGTTTGCGATCCTCTTACCCTTCTTAAGTTCTATCTTCAAAGCAAGAGCAGATTTATATCAAATTACATACTATCTTTTGGTTTATGAAAAGTCATCTCAACAGTTTCAGGAAGCATTTGCTTGAGCCCGACGAAAGAGACATATAAGTTATCTCATTCGCTACAAAAAGGTAATTTAAAGACGTAGCACTTTTACTATGTATAACACTTTTACGATCTGTTGTTCTCATGTTTGCTGTGATCAGACATAACCACAATCGAACAAAGGAATCCGCCACTTAAGATGGCAAAGCTCTAGTTTCTTAAAGGTACCCTCGGCAATTGATTTAGAAACATTTGACTGAAGATTTTTATTACAATATGAGATCAACTTATCGAACATATAAACTGATATTATATGATGTTAAATATGCTGCAAGGTGCTTTGTTACTTGATGTAGGAAGGTTCTTCACATGATGTGGAATTGGAGTTTTTTCTTATGTGGTAATTTACTCTGTTTTTCCTACACTATGCAAATTTTAAAATAAATGATCTTTATGTAGCAGTCAAGTTATCAGCCTAATTGTAATTTTACTCCCTTTCTTTGCAAGTTATGTTGATATTTTATGAACCAATATTTATAAAAATGCTCTCAGTCTCAAAAGTAAATGAACCAACAAAAACAGGTGCCTGTGTACATTGCTGAGATATCTCCCAAGAATCTACGAGGTTGACTGTTATAAACCAACTCATGATTGTGATCGGCTCATCGGTTTCTTTCATGATCTGATCTCTCATTTCCTAGAAAATACTTCTCCTTACCGGTAAATTTCTCTGTGTAGTTACTTGGTAAATATTTTAAGACGTACCCTCTCTGAAAACTGATCGATATATGCTTTTTTATCTCTTAAAAGGATTTGCTCCCTGCATTGTTTTACTCTTTGGCTTGTGCTTCATACCTGAATCTCCCGGATGACTACTAATTGTATTTGTATTTATTCATACCATTACAAAACAATATAAAAAGGATAATTATGTGTATTGTATACAAAAGCCAACTAACGAGATAAGTTGTCAAATAGGCTTATTTGTTTCTCACGAATAAAATGTTCACTCTTTTTATATTAACCTATTATTATGTAGATTTTTTTTTAAATAAAAAAAACATTAAATCATTTAAAAGTTCAAAATCGGAGTGATTAGAAGCAAACCTCATAAGAATTACAAGATAGTTAAACACATCAGATGCAAGGTATTTGGCTCAAACGTCTTTAGAGCACAGTTCTAAGATTTCTAAAGTTAACCACATATATATATCGTATGCTTTTCAAATCTAGAAAACTGAACTATATACATAGCTTATCTCTGGATTTTCCTTGAATATTTTTACATTGGCGTTCTTTTCTGCAATGAAATATCAATAATATAAAATTAAAAAATATAGGATCTGCTCATCAAAACAGAAACATGTTCAACTTTTCAAAATATAAACCTTACATATCTGTATGTTTTTATTCAAAAATAGTTGATGTTCTTACATCAGAAATTAATTGCATTTTTATTGTTTTAAGTGTTTGAATTTTGTATATTATTTTCCTATTGATTAAATTGTTTTGGAATTGATGATAAAACATGTTTTGTTTTGGTATAAAATTAAATAATTTCTTAATCTATATGTAAAAACCTTAAATATCATTTATAAAAAACTGAGAGAATATATAATAATAATAAATATTTTATTCATCCAATCCGCTTGTAGGGCGACTAAGCCCTAGTATGAAGAATAAAAGGCTAATTCTTATTTCCTCTTGAATCTTCTTTTTGACGTTTTTAACTTTTATTTTTACTAGGTATTTACCCGCGCTATGCTGTGGGATGTTATTCTAAAAATAAAAAGTTATTTTTTTACAGTATAAATAAATATTATATTTATTTTAATTTAACATTAGTTTTAGATTTAGGCCCTATTTATTTCTCTATCTGTATGGTTCATTTGAATAAAAATGAGAATTTTGTTTGTTTTGTAACAAAATCAAAAAATATTTAGATGAATTATCTAGATGATTTTTCAAGATTTAGATAAATTTATGAGAATTATCTGAATGAACCAAATTAGACCATCTTGATGGAGATGTTTCAGTTCAAAATGACAAATGACTAAAATACTCTTAAATTTAAAAATAATAAAAAAACCTAAAATCATATTTTTCGAAAAAACCACAAATTATGTTTTTCTAACGAAATCTGAAAAATTATATTTTTTTTTCTAAACTGGTAAAATCATATTTTCTGGTAAAATCGAGAAATCGCATTTTTCAACCAAAACTAAAAAAAAACACATTTTACTATTATAAGTTTACTTATGATCATAAATTTCTCTACTCGCAGGTTATATTCATATTTTTAATTATGAAACTTTTAATGCATGTTTTTCTTACACTAACTAAAATAATTATTTTAACATTAATATTTCTTTAGCATTAAAAAAATATTTAGTAAAAAACCACAAATGAAACAACAATTCACATTAGCTTACATATTTACTATAGCTTAAGTTTATATATTGACCAGATCGCTACCTTAGCTCTAGAAATTAAAAAAAGCTTCAAAATATATCGAAAGAAACCAAATAACCATGTCAAATGTTTGAAGCTCGTATTTAATTGACCTCAGATCTTATAACTTTATTTTTCTTCAGTTATTTTTCTCTCACATATGCTAGAAAGAAGTCTAGCAACTACGAAAATGACTTCATAATGTCGCCATTCCTCACATTCTCCAAATCATATCAGTGTTTCTTTCATCTATTGAATCATAGTCACTGGTCGAGATTTAGGCGGTTGACAACTTTTTCGATCAGATCTGTGATACCTTTAAACATAATATATTTGCTTTCAAAAACTTAATACACTTTCAAATATTCATTCATAAGTATACAATAACTTGATTAAAAAATACTTATTCTTTTGATAATTAATTAAAATTTAGTGCACTCTCTCTTTGTCAAAGTATAAAGAATTATTTAATTTCAATATATAGAAAACATAATTTTCTGGATTTTTTACTTTTTCTCATATCTTTGCTTTAAACATGTAAACATTAACATTATCATACCTAAACATTAGTCACACTTATATGTATATATCAAACTTTCAATCTTCACACTATATTTAGATATAGTTTTATAAATAAGCAATATGACAGATATGATACAAGAGTAACACCCAAATACAAAGGCCCAAAACATTAAAGTATTAAACGCAAGCCTAAATACAACTTAAACTACAATGGTGTTACTATAATTGGATATCTCATCCGTCTTTAGCATCAGGGACAAAGCTTTACCACTTTAAAGTTTCAATTTTCAGAAAATTCATCAACACAATGCGATTGTAGATCTTTTTCAAACTCTTTCGAGAACCACCATATCTCCTGAATAAATCCATGGTTAAAAAATCCTTCTTCTCCACAAAGTTGCCACAAAGTTAAAATCTTAGAAGTGAAATCGTAAGTTTGATGAGATAACAATATTAATTGATTCATTAGAATTTTAGGTTTGTTTGCCAATAAACGTTATCAATTAGTTAGGTTAATTAGATAATTTCTAGAATAATTGAAGAAGATGGACGAAGAAGATGATGATAGGGAAAAGGAGAAAGCAGATGTCGATAATATATAATGAGCTTCAGTTTGTTCTTTTTAAAAAATTAAAAAAAAAAAAAAATTATAAAACAACACATAGTATATTATTAAAAATTGTGTGTTTTAATTTTTGTCATCGATATAATGATGGTTAATTTTGCAGTTATCCCAAAATAATAATATTGAGCTTCAATTTCTATGTATTGTTCATAGTGAGTCTTATTAATGAAAATTTTTGATGATAAAAAAAATTGCCTATGTGTCAAAATATTGAGATGAGTGTATTAATAAATTTTTTTAATTGGTTCAGTATTTTGCTGATGTGTTAGTTTTTAATAACACAAAAAAGCTGAGTTGTCAACACATGAAAAGACTTATGGGTTATTGTTGTATTGATTATCGAAAAAAAAAAGCTGAGTAAGGATGGAGAGCGTAACAAAAAGCTCGATTCATATTAGAAAAGGAGAAGATATTTAAGAAAACAACAATAAAACATCAGATCGTCGCAGTATATATATATTTGCTAAATATCTAAACAGAATTGAACCAGATATTGCTCCATATTCATATACCGTATGATCTAACCCGATTGGTGTTTAATGAAGATAATTAGCTGCACTATTCGTAGAAGAAACTAGACACACACGACTAAACAAATCACGAAAGGGATTTTGTTTTGGTCTCCAAATTTTGAACGCTCACTTATTAAGACAAAACAATAAGAATGTCACTTGCGAAAATATTAATACATTGTTGAAAACTTACTATTTTTCAAAATTTGACGCAATACCCAAGAGAATTTTTTTTTTTTTTCAGAATTTGACGCAATACCCAAGAGAAAGAAATAGGAATTAGGATAAGCAAACACTTTTCACGTTGAGACAAGAACTAAACACCAAGATGCTAAACATATCAGAAACATACATTTTGCTGATAACAAAACTATTGACAAGACACCCACCTTTGGCATTTCATCTACGTCAGGATCATTCTCATGCTCTACCACCCAATTAACTGCAGCCTCGAGACTGGCATTACCTGAAAGAATGAAGTTCAAACTATGTTATAGAAAATGAAACGGACAATGTATACACAAAACTTTAAGATTCATATGAACGTGAAAAGGAGAAAAGAAGAAACATATCTCATTATGTAACATGACCTCAGCTTTCATAAGAGGAACATATAACTTCAAATTTTAAGTATAAAATTAACATGCTTCAGTGAGATAGATGATGATCATTTATATATTAATCCAGACTTAAAAAAAAATAAGAAGTGTTCACAAAGCACAACACTTAATCAATAAGCCAATCCCTATTGAGATCAGTGGACTTAAACTTTTGGAGCTGTCATGTATACGACCATTTTACACTTTAGATGATTCTTAAGATGGGATATAAAAACTACGTGAAGTAAGGTTTACCAAAGATAACAGGAGCTCCAAAAGTTTTATAACAAGGTCCACTTGATATAATCCTAGCATTGTTAGAGTAATTGAATTATATCTTCAGCAACCTCACCTGAGTCATCTACCAATTACCATATAAGTATAATTAGTTTACTATTTCCAGCACTGATTGTTAAAAAAATATGGTAAAACTAACAACACAATTTTATGGAAATTAATAATGTAGGTGAAATTTGATCACTAAAATTTTATAATAATAATTTTTTTTATTAAAAATCAATAAATTAAAATATGAAAAATCAAAAAAAAATTGATATAAAACATAAAGTTTTATGATTAAAAAATAAAATTTTAAAATATATAATTTTATGTTACAAGATTTTGCGTGTTTCATAAAATAGAAAAAATTATGAAAAATGATAAAAGAAAAGAATAATGATTCTATGAAATATATAATAGATAAAATACATGCGAAAAGTATGAAATAGTACAATCAAAGTATTTTAGTCAGGAAAAGAACTCTTTTATGTAAGAGAAGTCTTGGTGACAAAAAAAAAAGTAAGAAAAGTCATAAAAGTGCTCTTATATGTAAATGTTTCTTAGTCCAAATAAGAATCCAGGATCAAAATGATAGACTGGTATAGATATGAAAAAATTCTAGAGATTGAAGAAGAAGTTAATCAAACCTTAAAACCAAAGTAATACCTCTGTTGGTTGTCAATTGAGATTGGACCAAGAATTGTTGAAAAATCTTGAACTTCACCACAAAAGTTTTTACTGCAACAGATTTGATCCAATACAGAAAGTAGAATCTACCATAACAAAAGAGATTGTTCAAACGTTATCAGCTATTGATCATAGAGAGATATTTGCATTCATCTAAATCATAACCTCGATGTTCCTGCTTCAGTTTTCCAAAAAGACTGTTTAATTTATTAATAAACTTATAACATTATAAATATTTTAACTTGATCAAAAATTTAAATATTTTAAATTTTTGATTAAAAAGTTAACGTGATCAAAAATTTAAATATTTATTCTATTAAGATGTTATATCATAATTTAATTTAATCAAAATCTTCTGATATTAGAAATATATTTATATAATCAAAAATATATCAATTTATAAATATTAGCTTAATTATATATAGTTTTAGATAATTAATTAATAATATAAAACTTAAAAAAATATAATATATTTCATAACGTATATTCAATATTTTAAATCAAATTTTAAATAATTTACTTTTTTAAAAGGTTGATACTTTTATAACTTAGTATTTTGCATATTAACCTATGAGAACACATAAATTATTTTAATTCGATACAAAATTGGATAAACTGAGTGTAATAGTCCGCTTTACCATATCTATATCTAAATATGCAATTAAAATTCATAGAAAAGCAATATCAAAACTAATTATAAAATCTTATAATCAACATGCATTGTGCATTATGCATATTTGCAATTGCAAGATTGACACAACTCTAATTATATCATATATACTATTAACAAACATATAAAACCAATTAAAATAGTTTCAAAATCATGATTAATAAAATTAATTAGATTTTTATTTTCTATATTTCGTATATTATCACCTAGTATAAAGGTATATTTTGTCGGTTTTAAAAATAAATTTTAGGAATCGAATTCATTTGCAAATTACCAATTTGGCAAAAATCTTAAAAGAGGCCGTAGGCCGGCTTTTCATTTCCTCCATAAAAAAATTCCACCAAACAAAACTCTCTCATCTCCCCACACCTTCTCGCTGCTCTATTCATTCCTCCTAATCCATGGCCGGAGAAGGAGGAGAACTGACGGCGACTTTGCTGAAAAAGACGGCAGAGAACGGTGGAGAAAGTGATGATCAGTTGGGGATGAGGGAAAAGGTTTGGAGGGAATCAAAGAAGCTGTGGGTTGTGGCGGCGCCGGCGATCTTCACAAGATTCTCTACGTCCGGAGTATCTTTGATAACTCAAGCTTTCGTTGGCCATCTTGGCCCCACTGAGTTGGCCGCTTACTCCATCACCCTCACCGTTCTCCTCCGTTTTAGTAATGGTATCTTGGTGAGTACTCCTCTTTCTGCTTTCTTTTAGATTTTTTTTTTGTGTGTGTTCTTAATCTACAATTATTACTACGGATATTAACACGAGAAGACCAATATAACAATTTGATCAGTTCTTCCACAACTCTTCACTGCAAACACTCTTTATAATAATGGTAAAAATATTCGTGTTTATAAGTTTAGATCAGTTCATACTATTATATATGGTGACGTGAATGCTTAGATAGATAGTCTTCTTATGGGAGCTAGTTTTTATTTCTTCTTTAACCAATCCTAAAATTCATAACCACAAAGCTCTTTGCGCTTTGAAAAAAATTATATGATATATTTTGTTAAGTTAAGTATGACATTTCTATTTCATAGTAGCAGTTTAAACGGTTTTGGGACACACTGTTGGTGGTACTCGTCGTTGAGTGTTCAGTAGAAAGCATGACCAACGAATACTTCGCATAAATTAACGAATTTTAATTCCATTAGTAGTTAATAGTATCAACAACTTTTTTGGTTCGTCCGAAATGCAGCAAAAATACTTCATTGTCATAACAGGAAAAAAAGTTGGAGAATATAAGAAACCCCTTTAACAAAAAAAGTTGGAGAATATAAGAAACCCCTTTAACAAAAAAAGTTGGAGAATATATTGATTCTATAAAAAAGTTTGGACAAAGATACGATAAGAAATGACACAAAGTATGACTGGTCAGAAAGTTTTAAAATATTCATTGGCCGCTAATGTCCAATAGTCACCTGCCAATGCCATCGTGTATTTCTTCTGCACAGCATCTTGTGTGAGACTCGTAGATTCCCATTTACGATATAAAACAATACTACTTAAAAGACTATTTTATCGGAAAAAGGAACTTATAAACTCTTCATATTGTAGATCTTAAGTGTATTATCCACTGAAATCATTTTATATTACATATAATATTATCAGACTCGAAGATGCTTGCTAGTTTTTACGTTGCATTACATTATTATAAAAGAATGACAAATATACCACACGAGTTATTTACCAATAAGAGTTTAACATATATGTGAGCTCTTGCTCTTGCCACTTTGATCGCTGGTGACTGATTACTGACGCCGGTTATGCCAATGGTTGTAGCTTCTCTCGATATGTAATATGTAGCGCTTATCTTTGCTTTGAGTCAATTTTTCTGTATCTCCAAACAATATCTCTATTTGAGGCCGAGGCCAAAAGATAATAAAATATGACCGTTTTAAAAAAAAACATATACGTGAGTGTTTATGTTTTCGTAGCATACAAATATCCAGACCCGATTCTTCCTTAAAGCATAAGAAGCGCATGTTTTAAGCCACATATATATTTATCGAAATTGAAGGCCACATATAGGTGTTTTCGTTGATGAAAGTAGTTTTGTAGTGCTTAGAATTCTTGAATTTGATATCATATTTTCTTTTAAAATCTCGGATGTGCTGATCTACATTAACTCTTAGTATGCTATTGTGACATATAATGAAAATTAACTTTTCTAACTCATATTTTATACATTTAAATTATTTAAATTATGTGCCTTATGTGCTGTTAGAAGGAGTTTCTCTCTTAAGATATAGTAATCTAAATTAATTAATACAACAAATATACAGTATGTGTTATAATGTTCTGAAAATTAAAAATGTACACTATGTTGTAATAATTAAGACTTTTTACTTAAAGTAAGTATATTTTTTAACTAAGATATATTTTTATATGAATTTTTGGTTTAGGCCTCCAAATTTACTGGGATGACACTGCATATATCTAGTTGAAATTTTATGAGAAAACGATTTATTTTTCCATCAAAACTATCATATTAGCATTAGGTATATATCTTCCGAACTATGACTCCGATCTAAATATCTCTAAAAAGAAAGTTAAAGAGCTAAATCACCATGAAATCAAAGTTTAAAACTTGTATTCTCACCAATGTTAGTTTTAATGGCTTGTGATGTAAACTCGATATCAAAATATTGAACCCCAAAAATAAACCGAACCAAAACTCGTATCGCCATAAGACCAAACCCAAATCAAAAATTATCAAATTCTTAAAACCCTAGAACCAATTATGCAAAATTGTTTATGTATTCACATCAATCAGTGGGAGAATTACATTAACAGACTTTAACGTCAACGGTTTTATTATTAAATTTATAATTGATGGGGTTTTATCTGTTTAATATTTAATTGAAGGGTTTTATCACGAAAAACCCATGTTTTTATTATATTATTTATAATTTATTATAAAATAATATTTATCATGTAATAACGAATTGTCAATGGAGATATATATTCAGTTAGGCATGGCTAGTGCACTAGAAACACTATGTGGTCAAGCCTACGGAGCAAAACAATACCATATGCTTGGGATTTACCTCCAAAGATCATGGACTGTCCTCATTGGCTGTACCATTTGCCTTACGCCCATCTACATCTTCGCGGGCCCTATCCTCTTAGCCTTAGGTCAAGAGGAACGCCTTGTCCGTGTGGCTCGGATCATAGCTCTATGGGTCATAGGGATCAACTTCTCCTTCGTACCATCCTTCACTTGTCAAATGTTTCTCCAAGCTCAGAGCAAGAACAATATCATTTCCTACGTGGCTGCCATATCCTTGGGGGTCCACGTGTTCTTGTCGTGGCTCCTAATGATTCATTTTGACTTTGGGATCGCTGGTGCCATGACCTCGTCGCTCGTAACGCACTGGTTGCCCAATGTTGCTCAGCTCTTGTTTGTCACGTGCGGTGGGTGTAAGAACACGTGGAGAGGATTCTCTTGGTTGGCTTTCAAGGATCTTTGGCCCGTCTTCAAACTATCTTTATCTTCCGGTGGCATGACTTGGTATGATTTTTTTAATTTGCCAGGTCTTATAGTGTGAACTCGTAGAATATTATGAAATGTCGCCTTAAGAAGTAGAAATATCCGAAATCTTTAGTTGGAAAACGGTGGGAAACGGCCATTTCCCACCGTTATAACCGTGGTAATTAGACATATTTGCTTGTAGTGTAAAAAATAAAATTGTGGCCATAATCAAATATTCTAGTCTTGTTGGTTAAAATAGAGATGGGTTGTCTGTGTATATTTTTAAAATGTAAGAAGGTTGACAGAATTAAAGCCTGCCCAATTACATTTATATCCACCTTGTCAAAGTTTTTGTTTGGTCAAGTTTTTTTTTTGGTCAAGACTTTGTCAAAGTTTGAAGGGTTAATTTGCAATCTAACCATATTTATGAAAAAATACAAGAATATAGCCATGCTATTCAAAAAATATAAAAAATAACCATACCCCACATTAAAAAGACAAAAAACTCCTTTTGTTTTAAACCGAAAATATATATAAAAATAGTTTTGATTATAGCAAATGATTTTTTTTCGGACTATACTATAATATATGGTCTTACACGATAAAATTAATATAGTATAGCACTTGAGATTTTAATTATATTTACTATACTATATTAAAGAGAGGAAAAAGAGAAGACAGCGAGAGAAAAGGGGAAGAGGCGAGGAGAGGGGAAAGGGAAGGAGGAGAGATGGGATGACTAGAGATGAACATAGGGGAAATGAGAGGAAAATGATGAAAGAAGAAGAGAAGATTGAAGGAGAAAGAAAAACAGACAAGGACAGTTTTGTATATATTGTAGAATATACAAAGAATATAATAACTTCTATATTGGTATAGTTATTTTTCTGAATTATATGTATTGATATGATTACATGAGCCAATTCCCCAAGTTTGAATATACGTTTAGAGTATTTTTTTGGTCAAGACCTTGTCAAAGTTTGGATAAAATAATATTGTTCTTATTCTTTGTGATATTGTGTTTTGGCAGCTTGGAGCTATGGTACAACTCGATATTGATCCTGCTCACGGGGAACTTAAAAAATGCTGAGGTTGCTCTCAACGCACTTGCAATCTGGTATAAGCTTTATGCCTCTTGTCTTTGAAGTTATGTTATATTCATACATTTGTACATTTGTCTTTAGATTATTAATTGGTATGAAAGCTAATGCATGATATACACTAATGTCAAGGGAAAAATGATCGTATATGTTTATCAACTTTTGCAGCGTCAATATAAATGCAATGGAGATGATGGTAGCCTTCGGCTTCATGGCAGCAGCAAGGTAAATACAACTATACATATTATTAATTCATAATATGTCAAGATTTAAAATAATTATAGAGAATTGACTAATTATATAAAATTTAGCACTTATGAAATATACCATAGTCGTTATAAGATAAATAATACACTTTTACTATTATTAAAAATGGTTAAATTTTATTAAATCACCAAAATACAAAAAGATTACAAAGTTATGTACAAAACATCAAAATATGTAAATCTAAATGTTTCTGTGTATTGATCGTGATGCAAAGCATCTATCTTTATACAAGTAAGGAGATAAACCTGAAGCCTTATAAAAACAGGGCATAAGCTATATCACAACTATATTCGCTTATATCTACTATATGATACGATAATATTTCTAACACTCCCCTCAAGATGGAGCGTAAAGATCTCGAACGTCCATCTTGTCGAGAAGATAATTAAACTGCTTCACTCCCAAAGGCTTTGTCAGTAAGTCTGCAAGCTGCTATGTTGTTGAAATGTCTGGAGTGACAATTGTACCATCGGTGACACAATCGCGAACAAAATGACAGTTCACCTCGATGTGTTTTGTTCCCTCGTGATTCGCAGCGATGTAAAGAGCTGCCTGATTATTGCACCACAGAGGGATAGGATCAGGTTGAGTGATGCCAAGCGAGACTAGAATAGCGTTAACCCATTTCAACTCGGCATATGTCATAGCCATTGCCCTGTACTCAGCTTTTGCCGATGAACGGGACATTGTATGTTGTTTTTTCGTTTTCCAAGAGATGAGAGAATCACCAAGTGTGATAATGTAAACCGTGAGGGAACGACGAGTTAGTGGGCATGCCGCCCAATCTGAATCTGAGAACGCCGCAAGAGCCAGCGCTGAGTCACCACGCAATAGAATGCTCTGTCCTGGAGACTTTTTCAAATAACGATCAAGGCGAAGAGCTGCATCTCAATATTTTTCGCGTGGAGACTGTAAGAACTGTGCAAGGATGTGCACCTCATAACTTAAGTCAGTTCTTGTTACCGCGAGGTATACCAGACGTCCAACCAGTCGCCGATATTGAGCAGGATCCGGATAGTATTCACCTTCATCTCGAGCCAAACCGTGATACTGTTCCATAGGAGAATCGACTGGTTTTGACCCTAGGAGACCACACTCTGTGATAATGTCCAAAGCATATTTTTTCTGAGACAAGTAAATCCCTTCTTTTCCTCGGGAAACCTCGATGCCAAGAAAGTATTTAAGAACACCCAAGTCCTTCATATGAAAGCAGTGATTCAAATATTCTTTAAACCGAGAGATCATTTCAGAATTGTTCCCTCCAATGATTAGATCATCCACATACACCAAAACATACATAATCTTGGCCCCTTGTCGAAGAGTGAATAGTGAATAATCGGCATAATTCTGTTTGAAACCAAATTCTTTCAAAGCAGTAGACAGCTTCGCAAACCAACAGCGTGGGGCTTGTCGCAACCCATAAAGAGATTTAAGCAGACGACAAACTTTCCCTGGTGCGGAGGAAGAGAATCCTGGTGGCAGCTTCATGTAGACTTCTTCGTCTAAGTCACCGTGTAGAAACGCATTATGGACGTCTATTTGGTGAAGCTCCCAGTTCTTTGCTGCAGAAACACCCAAAAGAATCCGAACTGTTGTCATCTTTACAACAGGAGCGAATGTCTCTTTATAATCGATACCCTCCTCTTGACGATTCCCAAGTATAACAAGGTGAGCTTTATATCGCTCAATTGTTCCATCAGACCGGAGTTTTGTCTTGTAGATCCACTTGCACGCTATGACAACCTTTCCTGGTGGGAGATCTGTGATGTCTCAAGTGTGCTATTTTTTTAACGCGACCACTTCAACGCCCATAGCATCACACCAGATTTTAAGTTTCACTGCATCTTTGAAATGAACAGGATCAATGGTAGCATTAAGATTGGCGAGGAACATCTGTTGAGAGGAAGAGAGACGATGGCAAGAGACAAAGTTAGTGAGCGGAGAGGAACTCGTACTCTGAGTCGTAGACTTTGATTGAGAGGGAGCGTGATGCGGGTCATGAGGAACTGTAGCCGAGTAAGTGACATATGGTCTGAGCAAAACCGACTTCAGCTTCGTACGCTTGCCTTTACCAAGCTCCTCTGTAGCAACGGGAGCAACACATGGTTTTATGGAAGCAGGTTCTGGTAATGCTCCCCCTGACGTAGGAGGTGGCAGGAAGGCGGGAACAGTGTTTGTGTCAAACACAGTCGGATGGAGTGGTGGTGTAGGAGTGATATTTTCTGAATTCTCAGTGACAGGAGGATGCATATATGGGTATGTATCCTCTTGGAAGATTACCTCTCCAGAGACAAACGTCTTTTCCGTCCTGAGATCAAGAACCAACCACCCTTTCTGTCCCATTGGATATCCGAGAAACAAGCATCGAATACTGCATTCTTGAAACTTATCTTTATGTCGATCAATAAATTCGAGCAAAACAGAGGGTACCAAATGTGCGGAGATTGTCATACGTCGGAGGCGTACCATAGAGCAGCGTGTATGGTGTCTTTTGCTCGAGTAACATGGAAGGAGTTTGATTGATCAAGTAGGTAGCTGCTAAAACGCTTTCTCCCCAAAATTTGGTCAGCAAATGTGCTTGGAATAACAGAGCACGAGCCATGTTCAGAATATGTCTATGTTTACGCTCTGCTCTCCCGTTCTGCTGAGGTGTTTCCACACACAATCTCTGATGAATCACACTTTGATCAGCGAAGAAGGACCGGAGGCAAATAAATTCACTGCCATTGTCACTTCGGACAATCTGTACCTTCGTATTAAACTGCCGTTGAACATACACGAAGAATTTCTGTAAAGCTGCAGGTGCATCTTTCTTTACAATAAGAAGAATTGTCCAGACAGCTCGTGAAAAATTATCCACTATTGTAAGAAAGTATCGTGCTCCAGAAGAGGATGGTGTTTTGTATGGACCCCAAAGATCGACATGTATTAAAGAAAAAACATCTTGTGGCTTTATTAGAACTTTGTGAAAAAATAACTCGAGTTTGTTTAGCTCGTATACATGTGTCACAAGACTTCTCAAACTCGTTAAAACTACTAGAAAATCCTCCAATCTTCGATAAATCTGAAAGCACCTTTGAAGATGGATGTCCTAATCTACGATGCCACAATTCTCTTGTGTGAAGTCTCCCAGCATAACCAGCTTGAACCGAAATCTCCCCAGTGTAGTGGTAGACCCCATCACGCTCTCTACCCGCTCCAATCAAAGTCTTCGAAGCAAGGTCTTGTATCAGACAAAACTGTTTTGTGAAAAGAACAAATCCAGCGATATCGCGTGATAACTGAGCTACGGATATAAGAGTAATCGAAAGATTGTCCGCATATAACACATGATCCAGAATTAATTGATTTTCCAGATGCAGACGTCCATATTGTTTAGCCTAAGTGACATCGCCGTTAGGAAGAGTTATCAGGCACGGCTCAATATTCACTACTTCAGTAAGTAACTTAATGTCTCCCGTCATATGATGGGAAGCACCGGAGTCAATAATAATGTCAAAACGATGATCATTGCCAAATAAAAGAAGCTTATCTCTCTTACCCGAAAGCTTATCTCTTTTCTAAAGGAAGTCTATTGGTCTGATGTAAAGTTTGGAATCCCAGAAGCATGACCTTCTGACGTTGAGGCCATCTCGGAAGTCTGAGTGTTGTAAGCTCGAAATTCGGAGCCACGACCCCCACACTTTGCCACCTTCAGATCCGCCATGACCACGACCTCGGCCAGCTGGAGCCTTGCTTTTGTCTGGCCACCATTCAGGAAAGCCAGTGATCTGAAAGCAATTGGCAGAGACATGCCCCTGCTTTCCAAAATGTGTGCAAGTTGTATTTGGACGTTGAAGCTTGTTTACGGCAGATGCATGTGCAGGAGTCTGTCGTGATGTCGAGGGTTGTGGTGATGGTGGTGTTGATGCTGAGAAGGCCACCGTAGGAATCTTTTCATCTGCACCGCGCATCACGTTGATGTGTCTTTCTTCTTGGATTATCTGTGAGTACACAGACTTCAGGTTCAAAACAGATGCTCTGCTCAACAGATTGGATCGAGCTGTGCCAAACGTGAGTTATCCAGCCCCATAAGAAACTGATGAACCCGGATTTTCTCCTGTATGGCTTCGTATTTCACCATTGAAGCGCACTCTGCATCTCCACAACAACAGCTGAATCCTTTCTCTAAATCGACAAAATCATCCCACATCACCTTAAGTTTACTGAAGTAGATCTCCACAATGTCGCCCTCCTGTTTGCAGGACGATATATCAGCATGAAGCTGATGTGTTCATGTGTCATCGCTGACTGAGAAACGTCATTGCAGGCTTGCCCACATGGCTTTAGCGCTGTCAACCAGAGAGATGGAAGGGCGTAGTTTTGGTTCCACACTGCTGTAAATCCATCATATTATCATAGAGTTTACCATATCCCACTTTTCTGCATCTTCAGAATCAGGAGAAGGCCTCTTCAAGAATCCGTTAATGAATCCAAGCTTTCATTTGGTGCGAAGTGAATTCATCATCAGTTTCGCCCATCGTTCGTAATTCGCTCCGTTGAGAAAAATCGGAATCTGAACTTGTCTTGTGCTGTCCGATGGGTGCAAGTAGTAGGGTGACATTAATTTGTCGAGTGCTGCAGCTGCAGGTACATAAGTAACTGAATCGGTGTCTGATTCATTCATGAGAAAGAGAGAAAGAAACGCAGAAACGAAGAGTGAATCGAAGGTCAAAGAAGCGAAGAGAAAAAAAATATCAAAAGGCATATTGTATAAGCTCTGATACCATGTAAATCTGAATATTTCTGTGTATTGATCATGATGCAAATCATCTATATTTATACAAGTAAGGAGATAAACTCGAAGCCCTATAAAACAGGGCATAAACTTTATCACAACTATATTTATTTATATCTACTATATGATACGATACTATCTCTAATAAAATACAAGTTATTACATAAACAGTTATATGCATTATATATTGAAAACGAAAAATAGAAAAAAAAATGAATTTAAACACTACTCTCTTACGAGATAAATCTTACATGCTAATAAACAATATATACTGTTATTTTCTTTTTTATATTCATTTTACTCTGATACGATGTGTATGCCAGATTTGATATTATTATTAAGCTTTCCAAAATGTATAGAAAAAGTCATTGCATCTGTTACATATTTTCGCAATATCGACAAGATACCAAAAAAGTCTACAATTCTATCAAAATAATTTTTATTAATGTATTTATTTTGGACGTAGTAAATTTACATGTTTAAAACTCTTTCGAAGTTATTAAAACAACGATAACCTTATATGTCTGATAAACTCATAAATAATAGAAAATGTATTTTTAAGATTATTTCTCATGATACATCATAGTAGTACTAACATGTAGACGTATAAATCATGTATGTCATAGTGTAAGAGTTTCAAACGAGATCGGGAATGGAAACTCTAAAGGAGCAAAATTTGCAACAATGATAGTGGTTTTGACATCACTTTCAATAGGGATCGTTCTATTCTCCGTCTTCCTGTTCCTAAGAGGAAGAGTTTCGTACATTTTCACAACAAGTGAAGCTGTTGCCGCTCAAGTAGCCGATCTTTCTCCACTATTGGCCTTCTCCATCCTATTGAACAGTGTTCAACCTGTTCTTTCTGGTATGACTATATTATCTCCCCTAATGATCATTATACCCTCATGCTGTCATGCATTGACCATCCTTGAACTTTTTCTAACTCGATCCGGTCTAAACTGGTAAAATATATATATACCCGATCTAAATTGGTCATGCTCGAGTGATGTTTTAGATTTTTTTTAATTATGACATGTTTAATTATTGTGACATATATAAAAGTGTTTTAGACTAAGCATTGGAGTATCCAATATTGGTATTTTAGGTTTTTGAGAATGTAAAAGCATTCCCATGAAGGAATCTCACAAGGTATTTCAACATTAAAAAATTAAAAATAACAGAAAAGTGACTTATCTTCTTTTCATTGGTTTAGTTCCTTCTTTTTAAATAAAAGCTTAACTATATCAAAATATTAATATTATATTATTGAAAAAAAATAAAAATATGTTTTAAACCAATGAAGATGCTCTAAGATCTTGTATTTTAGGTAGTTTGGTGTGATCGTGTACGAATGTTTAGAGTCAAGTGTTGCGGGACGATTGTATTGTATCTATCCGAATAATGAACATATCTGATATCTATTCCACCACTTCCACATCTAGTGAATGTTACCCGACCCAAAAACCTAGATTTATGTTATTTAATAATGGATATATATAAGACGAGTATAATCATTTATAATCCTAGTACATGTTGTATACGGATATAGTTAATATATATCAGATCTTTAAACGAGCGCATATGTTTATGAACCGATTACAATCGGAGCAGGAGTTGCTGTCGGAGCCGGATGGCAAACATATGTTACATACGTTAACCTTGCTTGCTATTACCTTATTGGAATTCCTTCCGGCATTTTCCTTGGCTATGTCGTGGGTTTGCAAGTCAAAGTAAGTCTAATTATTAATAATTAACTATTATTATTCCGTTTAAGGTGTTTTGGTTCTATATACATTCTACCATTCACAATAAGCTAATATATTTTGTTTGTTTTCTTTCAATTTTTAGGGTGTTTGGTTAGGAATGATTTTTGGAATCTTTGTTCAGACGTGCGTTCTTACGATAATGACTATGAGAACAGACTGGGATCAACAGGTTTATATATCGGTTTACATTTCATATTCAATAGAAATTTCGACAAACTTTATTATAACAAACAAAATTGACTTGTTTACATTGTTTAATGTTAAAAACATTTCAGGTGTCCTCGTCGTTGAAACGATTGAACCGTTGGGTTGAACCAGAATCCAGAGGTTGAAATTGAACTTCACAATAAAGAATAATTCTAAAAGATTGATGCTGAAACTTGAGTTTGTAAACGGGCTTTTAGATCTCCACTTCACTCTCGAGTGTTTACACTTACGACTTATGTCTGCATGCAGATCTTAAACGTATATACTAGCGAATTCAGACCACCGAGCCAGCGGTCGTTAATTATCTCACTAGTCTTAGTTCGAATGAACCGATTGTACGGGGAATTGTCTTCAATGATAAAATTAATTATCTTCACCAAAGCAAAAAATTATGCTCTTAGATCCAGCTAAACTTTTTGGGAGACTAAAATATGATCCCATTCCACTATTAGTTACGATTTTTAAAATATGTTACATCTTGTGATTCTTGTCTCGAACCATATTCTCGACCGTATGTATAAATTGTAGAGATAATAACTTCAATAACCAAATAATTTTTTCATATTTCTTAAGAACATTAATCACTTTTTAAAACGTGAAACCATATAAATTAATTATATATTATACAGTAGAAATATTATAAATTAATGTTAGAATCAAACAAAATTATTAATTTATCGAATACTTAATTTCTATATTTTAATAATTACTGATTATAAGTTTTGAAACAAGGTAAAATTATTGATAAAATTGTTGATTTATCAAGTTTATTAAGTTATCGAATATTAATTTATAATTTTTTACTGTAGCTGGTAGAGTATAACAATTATGTTCTCACGTTAAAATATGATATACCATTTATCACTAAAATAAGTAAATAATGGCAAACTTAAAGGTTATAGTCCGGCCGGGTCTGGTGACCAGCAGTTTGGTTTCCATCACGGCTTAGCTTTTAGGTTTAAAATTATCACAAATTTATAAAACTGTGACGTCATGAGTGACAAAACCAACTTTGGTTTATTAGTCAGTAACCATTATAATAAGAGCTTATAGAATGTAATGATGAATTTTATAGGGTCGCGCGAGCACTATATTAGTGGAATCATCTTTTGTTTGTTCTTTCACCTAATCTATTCTCATTTCCTTTAGCAAAGATATCTAACCTCACCCTTCTTCGTCCATCAACATTTTCTCCAGCTCTAATCGGAAAAAAATGGAGGCAGTAACGGTTATTAAGCCATTGATCAGAGTCGCTGCCCTTTCCGGTTCCCTCCGGAAAGGCTCTTGCCACAATGGTCTTCTCCGTGCCGGTATGTATAGTTTTTTATTATTCTGGTCAATTTTGTGGTTATCCGCTTATCAACTTTATTTTACTCGAAATCCAAGCAATATCCTGGATCAAGTCTTATTTAATACTAACATGATTATTATTGGTAGAGGAATTTCTGTAAAGTTGATTGATTAAAAAAATTTAAGAGATTTAAGAAACATTTTTTAGCAGAATTGACAAATATGTCATGAATCTTCTAATCAAATATTTTGATGGATCGTCTTGTCCTGAATTTGTATTTATTTTATTAATAATTCTCTTTTTGAGATGATATATCTTGATGTTTTTCACAAAATATTCCAAATATCATCTCTTTCAATTTAAAGTATCTTTAATTTGCTTATATAAGGAGAAATTTTAATATGGTATCAAACTATCTTTTATTATTTTTCTTTTATGATGACTGTTTTAAGAATTAAGAAATGCAAATTCATATTTTGAGAACAATTTGGAGTGACAGTTTTTAATGGGATTTCTAATATATACTTCTATCAAATTCTTCTCGTTGTCTATGTCCTATCAATCTTTTATGTCTCATAAGATCTAGATTATGACATAATTCACATAATCTGAATAATAATCGTTGTTGTACATGGGTTTTGTTGAAGAAGAACTCAAAGAGAATTTTTAATGAAACTTAAAAAAAAAAACCAAACCAATAAGAATGGATTTTGGTAAGTGTTAAGGAATTCATCAATAAGAATTTAAATTTTAAAATATCTTTCAAAACATTATTATTGATGAATTATTGGAAATTTTAATATTCTGAAAGTCATTATTATTGATGAATGGTTACTGACTAACAAAACCATTATTGGAAATTTTGAAGAAATTTTATTGTTTTAAAATAGCCATAAATCTGCAGATGAAACGTTTGTTATTTCGAAGTTTTATAAAAACTAGTTAGAATCCGTATTTAGATTTTAAAATCAGTAAATTATATTATATAAGTTTTTATGTAGATTTCCCAAGTTGTAGTTAACTTTTCGGTTTTGACTTTTTGTAGCGATCGACTTGACGAAGGAGTCGTCGGTGTCGGGAATGCAGATTGACTATATAGACATTTCTACGTTGCCGTTTATCGACACCGATCTGGAAATCAACGGGACGTATCCTCCTGTCGTCGAAGCTTTCCGGCAGAAGATCCTTGAAGCCGATAGCATTCTCTTCGCCTCGCCTGAGTATAATTACTCTGTCTCAGGTACTTCAAAAGTTTGTTTTTTATACAAATCGTCTTCATGTAAAATTGCATCCAATTGAATTCTTGAGACAATTTGATGTTTCAGTTTGAGTCAAAATGATATGTTCTTTGCCTAATTCGTTGTATAAGTTATTTTCAACAGAAAATTTTAGGGTTTTAAAAAGGCTAAGGGATTTGTTTTATCAAGTAGTCATCAAACTGGATTTTGATAAGACATGTACTACAAGCATGGTCCATCTTTGTCTTAGTCATATGCAAATATCAAGAAAAAGCTTATTGTACGTAACCATTGATTTTGGCTTTCGCAGTAACTCATGGAACCAAAATAATGCTCAAACTGAAACTATCTTTACTGTTCTTGGCTTCTAAAATTCAGATTTGTGGGAAATTGTGACATTTTTATGTTAATTCACATCGAATTAATGCATGCTTAGTTTATGTTAGCTTTGTAGTCTTTTGCTTCGGGCCATATTTTTTGTTTTTTTATATTGGATGTTGCATCCGATCGAATTCAACATTTTTTTTTGTCAACTTAGAAACTTATAATAACAAAAAACAAATTGGTAAACCAAAAAACTTATATTAAGATACATGAAATTATTTCCATCTCTTTTCTTTGTTTACCTCGTTTGATTACAATAACAGCTCCTCTTAAGAACGCGATCGACTGGGCATCAAGATCGCCTAATGTTTGGGCAGACAAACCCGCTGCCATCATAAGTACCGGTGGAATATTTGGTGGAGGAGTGTCTCAATATCATCTTCGACAAATCGGAGTATTCCTTGATATTCATTTCATCAACAAACCAGAGTTTACTCTCAATGCGTTTCAACCGCCTCAGAAGTTCGATGCAGAAGGAAACTTGGTTGATGAATCGGCTAAAGAGAGGTTAAAACAAGTCCTTGTCTCGTTACAAGCATTTACTTTGCGACTACAGGGTAGTAAGTGAGGCAATTCTTGATCATGTGTGAGATTGATCTTGTGATGGAGATATTGCGAATTGTTATGATAAGAAATAGTATGTTCTTATTATTTAATTTCACTTCATCTTTTTTTACTTTTCTAATTTTAAAAGTTTAAGATTAATATTGCACATGTTAGATGATATTAATATCATCATCATTCATGTTGGATCTAACCACCCAAATCAATCTCAACTATAATCTTTACTTCACCCATTAATGTCGGATCTAACTATGGCTTCTTAGCGAGCTAATACCAACATGCGAGAAACAACGGCTAGGAATGGTCTTTAACGTAACCACGGCTTATTAGTGAGCATGGGTTTGCTTAATTACATATATTTGATCCTTAAACAAATTATTTATTTTAACATATTAAATACAAAAATATATATTGGATTTAAAAAAACAGTTTAAAAACAAAATCATATAAACTCGTAAGAGCTACAAAGAAAATAATATCACAAAGTTTTAAAATTTTTTTTAAAAAATACCATCTGCACGTTGACTTTGTAAAATCTTATGGAGTTGATTTTGATTTCAATTCTATCGTGTGGTTTTATGTTGTTATTATTGTAAAATCAAATGACATCATCTTGACTTTATATAAAAAAGATTGTACAAAATTACAAAAAATCATGAAAAACTATTTTTTTCATGAATTACTCTGGTGCATGTGTACTCATACACTACTCTGGTGCATTTACTTATATATTAGTTACAATTCATGGAAAACTTATTTTTGCAACAAAATATCATTGACATTATGGTAGTAATGTTCATACGTCAACCTTACAGTATCATGATAAATAGTTTCATTATTTTTTTAGTAATCCCATGACTTGTATTTTTTTAAAAAAAATTTAGTCAAATTTAAAATTTATGATATTAAATGAAATTTTGCATAGTCAAAATTTAAAGAAAACTTTTTTCTATCAACTATGATATTAATGTAATAAGGTAGTTTTATATAGAAGTATAGTTCAGTCAAATTTTTGATGGTATTTTGCCTTGTGTGGTACATTAAAAAAAAAGAGTGTTTATCTAATTTACAACTTTTATATCTATGATTGTAATTTTAATCTAATTGGATATCTTCTCAGCCTCATACTCTCTCCTCTCTCACCACACCTATTTCATTCTATGCGATGGCCGGAGGAGGGGGAGAACTGACGGCGACTTTGCTGAAAAAGACGGCAGCGAACGGTGGAGAAAGTGATGAGTTGGGGATGAAAGATAAGGTTTGGAGGGAATCAAAGAAACTATGGATTGTGGCGGCGCCGGCGATCTTCACAAGATTCTCAACGTTTGGGGTATCTTTGATAAGTCAAGCTTTTATCGGCCACCTTGGCCCAACCGAGTTAGCTGCTTACTCCATCAGCTTCACTGTTCTGCTCCGTTTCAGTAATGGTATCTTGGTGAGATTCTCTAATCTTTTTTATTGATACAAAACACATCCTTTCATCTCATATGTACGTAAAACTAATAAATTAAAGAGATGCAAAACAAACCTTTTTCACTTATACCAAAATCAAGCTTTACACCAACTTCTTGTTTTTTTGTCGGATTTCGACACACGACTTTGGTTATATGGCAAAGAAATCTTCGGGTTATATATATATATTTTTTTATTTCATACGTCAAGGATTCTCTTTGTGTTTGTTGCAAGATAACACATTCGATAGGTTGTTGAAATCTTCGGTTGTTGAATATATAGACCAGTGGTTTTCTACACGCAATTCAGTGGTTACGTTTACCATTAACACTGTTTGGTTTTGGATTTTTTTTTTTAAGTTGTGTTATCGAAAATCGTTATAAATGTTATATATGCAAGTTGGATTTTTTTTTTTTTTTTAAAAAGCTTGGTAGAAATCAAATATAAAAAAAAAGCTTGGTAGAAATCAAATATATGAATTTTGTAGTTTGGCCTGAAACAAAAAGTTTGCATGTTCGTGATAATGTTTAATATATAGATGATGCCGTTTATTTTAGGATTTTTCTACTATGTCACCAAAATTGGATTTTACAAAACAAAAACTTATCTTGGACTTAGAAAACTTTATCATAATATAAATTGAAAAAAGAATATATATAACTTTCTCCTAAATTGTTTCCATATTATAATATTTCTGTTAAAAAAATTGGTAATAGTTTCTTTTTCATTGGGACAGCTTTGTTATGACACAACTGTAATACTTTGATGACGTGAGTGCTTACATAGACTCTTTTTTTTTTTTTTTGCTTGTCGTGGCTTATTTTGATTTCTTCTTCTACAAATCCTAAACTTCACAGCCACGAACCCATCTATTAACCATAGGTTAAATGAAAGAAAGAGAAAATTGTTGCTTATATGCTAGGACAGAGTGGGATGGTAAGAAATAGGAAACGATATGAAAGGTATATAACTAGACATTAATCTAAAAGAAGACGAAAAATCAACACTTTCTTAATCAAATTATTTGACGGTTTACCATTTTACTATTTTAATATAGGTAATGTAGAAAAGACAAAATACGTCACCAAGTTTTGACAAGATTTGTAAGAGTATCCACAATGGATGGTCTCTTATTAATGGTATCTCATTTATATTATAATAATATAATTTGATAATATAAATAAAATTATAAATTTAGAAGAATTGAATCAGTAGACAAAAAAAAAAGAATTGAATCAATCAGATAAAAAACACCTAATTGTTTAAATTTAGAGATAGTAATTGAAATCTCTTAAAATAGAGACCGTCTCTCTTCTTCTCTCATGCTTTTGTATTATTTTCTATTTTTTTATTATAAGATACTTATATGAGAGATTAGCATTGGAGCTGTTCTTAGTGTCCAATTTGGGTTGTCACGAATGTCCAATTGACTCATCTTAGCCATCACTCTTTGTGTGTTCCAATATTTCTCGGCCTATTTTAGAAATATATGTTCCACTTTTATTCCACAGCCGATTTGTCATTTTGGGAAGTTGATACTTAACTACATGATTGCAGTTAGGTATGGCTAGTGCACTAGAGACACTATGTGGTCAAGCCTATGGAGCCAAACAATATCATATGCTTGGGATTTACCTCCAAAGATCATGGATCGTCCTCATAGGCTGTGCCATTTGCATCACGCCCGTCTACATCTTCTCGGGTCCTATCCTCTTAGCCTTAGGTCAAGAAGAACGCATAGTCAGTGTGGCTCGGATCATTGCATTATGGGTCATAGGAATCAATTTCTCCTTTGTACCATCCTTCACTTGCCAAATGTTCCTACAAGCTCAGAGCAGGAACAAGATAATTGCATACGTGGCTGCTGTCTCCTTAGTGGTCCACCTGTTCTTGTCGTGGCTCCTCATGGTTTATTTTGACTTTGGGATCACTGGAGCTATGACCTCGATGCTCGTGGCTTTTTGGTTGCCTAACATTGCGCAGCTCTTGTTCGTCACATGTGGCTGGTGTAAGGACACGTGGATGGGGTTTTCGTGGTTGGCTTTTAAGAATCTTTGGCCTGTAATAAGATTATCCTTGTCTTCTGGTGGTATGATTTGGTACGATTTCATACTCTACTTAAATTTATTACTTTGACTCGTAAAATATTTAAAGATTAAATACAACGGTATTAAAGGCTGAGATTATATATACTGTATTCACTAAGTTTTGTTTTACAACATTTATTCAAAATTTGAAAATGTTTGGAATAATTTCTATTTAGAATAGTATAGCTACATGCACTTTTTTAGTATATTCCTTTGTGATATTAATGTTGAGCAGCTTGGAGCTATGGTACAACACGATCTTGGTTCTGCTCACTGGAGGCTTAGAAAATGCAGAGGTTGCTCTTGATGCACTTTCAATCTGGTAAATGTTAACATTAAGTTTTCTGTCTCTGGTCTCTATAATTTTTATTCAGGCATATATATACATTAATCTTAGATTTTGACAATTGTCTTAGATTATTGGTCTGGTGGTATGTTTCGCTGTTTAGGTTCATGATGTCTTAAATATACAAAAAAATTAACGTTTTAATAATCTTCGACCGAGTTTTCATTTAACAAGAGGCTGCTCATCTTCAAACAGATTTACATGTAACTTTTAAACTACTGGTCGTTGCTTCACATATCAAGTTCCAACAAATTATGTTTCGTAATTATTTTTATTTTTATTTATAAAGTCAATAACAAATTACCATTTAGATAACTTTGAAGAAATTAAGTAAATTATTATAAATCTACATATTTTAGTATCATGAATCATTGTTACCATCTCTTAAAATATTATATTTCTTAATTATTATTTAATTGAATGTCTCTCGATCGGTCGTACCACAAAAAAATCAATTATATTGCTAAATCTTCAATTTGATATTAATCTAAATTTAAGTGCATTACCTTTTTCCTGTCAGAATTCAACGGAAATGAGATCACCTATGTGAAATCTTTGACATAAATCAAATCATTTTTATTTGTTGATCAATTTTTCACAGCGTCAACATAAATGGACTGGAGATGATGGTAGCCTTCGGCTTCATGGCAGCGGCAAGGTGCATACATATATTACGTATATTAACACACACACACATTTTTCTTATATTGAGAACTCCTAAGTGTATGGATTATAAATGCATTAATAATGTAAATTATCTTCTCTTCTTTTTCTTATTTTGGAAATTATGTATGTAAATAGTGTAAGAGTGTCAAACGAGATCGGAAGTGGAAATGCGAAGGGAGCCAAGTTTGCAACAATGACAGCAGTTTTAACGTCATTTTCCATAGGGATTGTATTTTTCTTCGTCTTCTTGTTTCTTAGAGGAAGAATTTCATACATTTTCACAACAAGTGAAGCCGTTGCTGCAGAAGTAGCAGACCTTTCTCCAATCTTGGCTTTCTCCATCCTCTTAAACAGTGTTCAACCTGTTCTCTCTGGTATTTTGACTTCTACTTCCATGTGTGTAAAATATTTTACAATGTTAGGAATTTTTTCCATTACCAACTTTTTTTGATACAAAACCCATCATATTCAATAAACCCAAATATCCAAGATGTGTCCGGTCCGGTCTAGATTTGTAATGGATGTAGATATCAAGTACATGGAGAGTGTTTGGCCTCGTCGGCATGTATTTATAACTAATATTTAGGGTTTATGTGTTGGTTATGTATTGCTTGGAACATGTAATTAATGGTCTTTAGTATATGTGTTGGACATGTTATAATCGGAACAGGAGTCGCTGTTGGAGCGGGATGGCAAGAATATGTTACGTATGTTAATCTTGCTTGCTATTATCTTATTGGGATTCCTTCTGGCGTTTTTCTTGGCTATGTTATCGGTTTGCAAGTCAAGGTATGTTTTCTTTCTTTCTGTAATTATCAGAGACATTCATTGTTAAAACTTACATTCTTTCTCCTTTCATTATTGTTTTGCAGAATTCTCTTATTTATTATCGAATTTATAAGTTTAATAGTAACTAAATTTTCCTCAAAATTTCAGGGTGTCTGGTTAGGAATGCTTTTTGGAATTTTCGTTCAAACTTGTGTGCTTACAATAATGACTCTTAAAACAGATTGGGATAAACAGGTTTACAAATTAATTAATTACATTTTTTTGTAAATATGAGATTTTAACTTCGTTACTTAAAATTTATATTGTCTGATTTATCAACGAATTTATATGGTTTATTGGTAAATAAAATTTCAGGTTTCTTCGTCGCTGAAACATTTGAGTCGTTGGGTTGAACCGGAGGATGCAGATTTAATCAAGGCTTCATTAGACGAATAACAAAGCATGTGGTAAATGGTGTTTGAAAATTTTCATAATGGATATGATATTTATTCGTTAAAAAAAATTGCTTGGGTTTTTCTACAACTCTTGTTAACAACGTGACAATTGTATTTTGATATGCTCGTAACTTGTCAATTCATATTTTCTTGATTTATGACATTACACATAATTTGAAATTTAAAATTCAATATCTTTTTTTTTTGGAAAATTGAAATTCAGTATCTAAGACACTGGATACCTTTGAAATTTGAAAAATCAGACTCTTGTGGACAATTAAAATTCTAGTATATATATGATTTGAAAAATAGATGAATGTAAATATGTAATGTGAAAAGTAACATAATGAATCTATCCAGAGGCGCGCCTTATAGGATAGCAAATTATTTTTTCAAATCTATTTTTATTATTAGTTATAATGTTATATTGTATTAATCTCAAATATAGATATGTATCTATACATATAAAACAGAAATTAACAATAATAAGTTAAATTGATATTAATTTATTATCAAAGAATTTAGAATTAAATAATTAAGAAAAAAAATTGAGTCTAATTTTTTTATTTTTTCTTTTTTATTTACGCTGATCTAATATAGAAAAGTAATATTTAATATTATAAAATTTTTCCAATATTTTTTAATAATCAGTTACGATTAAAATAAAAATATTATTATTTTATATATATATATATATTTTTAATTATTTTATTAGTTTTCTAAATACTTTTTATTTATAATTGGTGGACGATTTAAAAAATCTAATTAATAATTTGTTTCTATTTTATTATTTTTACAATATAATAATTATATTTATTATTATAAAGAATATTTAACAAATAAAATTTTTTAAAATTTTTTAATTTCTGTTCACTATTAAAGTTGGTACGGCTCTAAATCCATCCCACTCATTTCTCTTCAAAATTGCAGATGATAATTTTCTAATAGACATTTAGTTGCAATTGTACCATTAAACAAACAAATATATATATAAAAAGACGACAAATATATATATATAAAGACGACAAACATATACTTCTACAAAAATATATACCACGGGTGACATAGATTTGTCAACATGAGAAATAAATAAAAAAACATGAAAACAAAGCAACAACTAATAGTTGGGATTTTTAATGATAAAACTCCTTAAGTAAAAATGAATCGGCTTTAAATCTCCCAACTAAATATTTAATATGAAAACTTTTTTTATAATGTATTAACCCCTTAGAATCATCGTTTTTTAAATATATTAACATCAAAGTTAATATTAGAATCATCGTTAATAAAAAATGATTCGTTTTGATTTCGTCAAAAAAAAACAACACAAATTAAAATTAAAACAACGCAATTTGTTCATTAAACAACACCACATTTTAAAATTTGAGCAAAATCCCCAAATTCTTACGACGAGTCCTAATTTTAGAGGTTCTTTGAAAGTCGAATGTGAAATATTAGGAGTGGTTAAATTGTTTTGATGTTGGGATTTTATGTTGCAAATCGGATTAGCATGTTTGAACGTAAAGCGTGTTAAAATTTAACGTGTCTTTGATTTGGAAAACCAATTTGTTCTCTGTTTTCTTTGAATTCAACGTGTCTCTATTTTGATTTTTTGTTTGTTTCTGTAACTGAAATTATAAGTGCTTTAAAAGCGAGATAAAAAAGATTAAAATAGATTCCTCTCACTAAAATTGTTTCAGTTTCCTCTATTTGTGTTAACAGTTGTATTGGGAATAATTGTGTATCTTGTAAACTCTTTATGATATCAATATATTTTTATTTGTGGCAAAAAAAAAAAATTAAAACGCATCATTCTGTTTGATTACTATTTGTGTCGTTTTTCCACAAAATCAAAACACATTGTTTTATTCTTAACGGTGCTTTTATATTTAACGACACAATAGACGGATGGATAAATTTGTTATTTGAACGATTTTCATATTAAATATTTAGTTGAGGGGTTTAAACCCGATTCATTTTTATTTGATATGCTTGTACGTAACTTGTCAATTCTTATTTTTTGGGTGTGAGGGTAAGAATATCTTCATTTGGTTCTTTAGTAGCGTTACACAACACTCAAGTCGATATTATATCAACAACACAAGAAAGTATATAAAAACTGCTCTTCTTATTAGATTTAGAAACTTCACAAAATTAAATCTCTCTTGAGTCTTATGGAACATCTCTTCATAACCTCTTATTTATAGACCTAAGCTACTCCTTAATCTATTAGGAATAGAAAACACATCTTTTCCATTTTTGATATTTCCTATTCTATATATCTTTAACTACTCATAAAGATAACTTCTTCTAAAAGTTACTGGAATTATCCAACATTCTCCCCCTTAATTCCAACTTGAACTTTGGGAGAAATGATTTTTTGAACTCCAATTAAGCTTCTCATATCCTTGAACTTGATCCTTGCCAATGGCTTGGTAAGAATGTCCGCCTTCTGCTCTGTTCCAGGTACATGCTCAACCTCGATTTGCTCATTTTCCACACATTCACGGATGAAGTGATACTTTGAGAGAATGTGCTTGCTTCTGCCGTGAAACACCGGGTTCTTAGTGAGGGCGATGGCTGACTTGTTATCGATCCGTAAGATGACCTTCTCGTCACCATCTTGTATCTCTTTTAACAACTCTTTAAGCCATATACCTTGCTTTGCTGCCTCTGTCGCTGCCATAAACTCTGCATCGTCTACATCAATATTATGGCTGCTGTCACTATAACCAATGATCCGATTTGTTCCATCTCTCTTGAAGAACAAACCTTGGTTAGTAGATCCTCTGATGTACCGTAAGACGTGTTTTAAAGCTTGTCCATGTGACTCTTTCGGACTCTGCATATAACGACTAAGGACACCTACGGAATATGCTAGTTCCGGTCTTGTATGAAGCAAGTACCGTAAGCATCCTATAGCTCTTCTATAGGCCGTGGCATCTATCTCAGCTTCGTTTTCTGCCTTAGAAAGCTTTAAACCCGATTCCATAGGTACATGAGTCGGATTACACGAGTCCATCTTCGTGTCAGCGAGAATACCTTTAGCGTATCTCTCCTGCTTGATTCTGATTCCATCTTCTCCTTGGATTACTTCAATTCCAAGATAGTATGTCAGCTTCCCAAGGTCTGACATATCGAATCTCCTTGACATGTCCTCTTTGAATCGATCAATAACTATCCGTGAAGTTCCTGTTACGAATAAGTCATCAACGTATATAGCTACTATCAAGAAGTCATTCTTTGTCTTCTTGAAGTAAACAGAGGTTTCCTCTAAGCATCTCTTGAAGTTCATCTCTTTCAGGACATGATCAAGCTTCACGTTCCAAGCTCTAGGAGCTTGTCGCAGGCCATATAATGCTTTATGTAACCTGTAGACTCGTTTTTCTTCTCCCTTCTTGACAAAACCCTCGGGTTGAGTAACATAAACCAGCTCGTTTAGATCACCATTCAGGAATGCAGTCTTGACGTCCAAGTGATGTATTTCCCAGCCTTTGGTTGCTGCGAGGGCTATCAGCAAGCGAATTGTTTTGATTCGTGCTACAGGTGCGAACACTTCATCGAAATCAATGCCCTGCTGTTGTACATAGCCTTTCGCGACAAGCCTTGCCTTGTGTTTATTCACTGAACCATCTTCATTCTTCTTTAGTTTATAGATCCACTTCAATCCTATGGGCTTCACCCCATCAGGTTTATCAACGAGCTCCCAAGTGCCATTCTTTGTTATGGATTCCAACTCTGCTATCATCGCATCTACCCATTTCTGTAGATTCGCTGCTTCATGGTAGTTTTCAGGCTCACCATCGATAGTAAGCAGTAGTTGTTCTTCTTCTTCATCTGCAAGCATAACGTAGCCGCTAAGGTATGAGGGAAGATTCACCTTTCGACCATATCTGGTTAAGATAGGCTCTGGTTCTTCTTCTTGATTCTCGTCGTGATCTTCCTCTGCATTATCTTCCTCTTCATTATCTTCCTCTTCTTCGTCTTGATCAATATGAGGTTGACCATGATGCTCATTATTGTTTTGAACATCGATGTCTCCTCCGTCTTCTATAGGGCCATAGCGAGGAAGTTTAAAAGTACCAGGTTCACCATAGTCATCTGTTGTTACGGATGACCAATCCCATGCCTTTGTCTTTTCAAAAATCACGTCTCTGCTCACCATCACCTTCTTCGTTACTGGGTCGTAAAGCCTGTAAGCTTTAGAACTCGGCTCAGTTCCAAGATTAATTACTGGCTTCGATCTCTCGTCTAGTTTCTTTAGGTGTGGTCCGATGATTTTTGTATGAGCTATACACCCAAAAACCCGCAGATGTCCTACGTTAGGTTTCCTGGATGTGAAACACTCGTATGGGGTTTTATCCTCCAAAGTTTTAGTAGAAACTCTGTTAATGATGTAAGCTGAATGTCTTACAGCTTCTCCCCACAAGAAGTTCGGAATCTTCATGGCCTTCAGTACGCTCCTGGTCATCTCCATTAAAGTCTGATTTCTTCTTTCTACAACACCATTCTGCTGTGGTGTGTAGGGTGCAGTAAGTTGTCTCGAGATCCCATTCTCTTCACAGAATGAGTTAAACACTGTCGAGGTAAACTCTCCTCCTCTATCGGTGCGAAAGGATTTAATCTTCGAGCCAGTTTGATTCTCGACTAGCTCCTTGTATCTTTTGAACCGATCGAATGCCTCACTCTTCTCCTTTAGCAACAGTATCCACATGTATCTCGAAAAATCGTCTATCAAGACGAAAACATAGCGATTGTTTGCTGGTGTTGGCGGAGAGATAGGCCCACACAAATCACCATGGATAAGTTCTAGTACTTGAGTTGCACGAAAGGCAGTCTTAACTGGGAACGAACCTCTCGTTTGTTTCCCAGCAAGGCATGCAATACATGTATTTTTCTCATGTAATACCTTCGGCATTCCATCAACCATCTTATTCTTAACCATGTTATTTATAACACCAATACTAACATGTCCTAACCTCACATGCCAGGTCCACGTCGGGTCCTCTTCTTGTATCTGAAGACACTTTGAGTAGCTTATCTCCATAGGTGTTTTGTAGAGCCTATTCGCTGATCTGACGACTTGAACTAAGAGTCTCCCCCGAGGATCTTGCAGTGTTAGAATAGCTCCCTTCATTCGGACTTCACAACCATTTTCGGTTGCTTGACCAAGGCTAATTATATTGTGTTTTAGTTCTGGAATGTAGTAGATATCTTTGAGGGCTCTTCTTTCTCCGGTCTTACCCACAAAGATGATCGTACCTTTCCCAACTATCTCCACATGTGAGCCATCTCCGAATTTCACTCGTCCTTTAACACTCTCATCTAAGTTCGAGAAGTAGCCTTTGTTACCCGTCATATGATTGCTAGCTCCATTATCCAAGTACCATATACTTGAATCTTTGTTGCTTGCGTCATACTTCTTTGGGAATACCTTGTCTTCGTTTAAGAAAATAACTTCGTGAACATAGAGAGCATCCGCCTCCTGCGTCTCGTTTAGGTTTGTTTCTTGGTTCTTTGGTAAGTCAGGACACGAGTTTACATAATGTCCCGGTTTGTCGCATCTGTAGCAGAGTACTTTGCTCATATCCTTCTTCCGGTTCTGAGCACCGTCTTTGTTTTCTCCTCCTGAGTTTCTGTTTGAACGACCTCGGCCTCTGCCACCGTAACCCCCGCGGTTACTCTGTTTGCTGCGACTACCCTGATCGTTACCGGACCACATAAGCTTGCTCTGTTCTTTTCCTGATGTCTCCTCACCTACTCGCTCTTCATACGCCTTTAACCTCCCCACAATGTCTTCAAACCCCGTTTTATTTAGGTCTAAGACTTTTTCTAAGGAAGCTACTATTTGTATGTATTTGTTTCTCGGGAGTCCCTTTAAAAATTTCTTCACCAGCTTCGGCTTTTCTATGACATCACCGAGGGAGGCCGCTTTTGATGCAAGCCCTGAGATCTTTCCGGCAAAGTCATCCACCGAATCCTTATCGCTCATCTTTAGCTTGTCAAATTCCGTCATCAAGGTCTGTAGTCTTGCTTCTCTCACGCGATCTGCTCCAAGATGTCGAGATTTAATGGCTTCCCACACGCCTTTTGAAGTCTCTTGTTCCCCCACTTGAAGAATAAGTGACTCCGGAATCGATTGGAAAAGAAGTGCTATTGCTGCGTAATTCTTCTTTGGATTCGCTAACCCCGGATCGATGGTCTCCCATACTTCATTCACTCGAAGTATAACTCTCATTCTCATCGACCAAACTGTGTAGTTTGTCGAGGTAAGCATCGGATATTGGATGGATGAGGTTCCAATCTCCCTTGCTCGTGGCTGCGGATTATTCACTTCCGCCATAGCCGATATATCAGCTTGTTAAGGTCCGAGACTTCCTCCTTGAAGCTCTGATACCAATTCAAGTCGATATTGTATCAACAACACAAGAAAGTATATAAGAACTGCTCTTCTTATTAGATTTAGAAACTTCAAAAAACTAAATTTCTCTCTTGAATCTTATGAAACATCTCTCTATAATCTCTTATTTATAGACCTAAGCTACTCCTTAATCTATTAGGAATGGAAAACACATTTTTTTCATTTTTGATATTTCTTATTCTATATATCTTTAGCTACTTCTAAAGATAACTTTTTCTGAAATTATCTAACAAACACGTGACAAACACGAGACATATGTGTAAACAATATATTTATATAAATTAATCAATAATAAAAATTCAGACAAAATGGTCAATAAATAAATGCACGAAATGATTATGTCATCTGTACTCATGTATACATTTTGTCAGAGTATTTTACTACTATCTACTAACCGCGACTTGCTACAAGAGGCGTAGGCGGCTTTTCCTTTCCCAATAATTAAAAAAAAAAAAAGACTATTTATAAAGAAAACACACAATGCTCTCACAATACCAATACATCAAACAAACTCTCTCCTCCCTCTCTCTCTCTCTCATTCTCTCCTCTATTCATTTCCTCTGGTCCATCAGATACAACAGAGATTTCAAGATGGCCGCAGGAGAAGGAGGAGAGCTCACGGCGCCTCTGTTGAAAAAGACGACGGAGAACGGCGGAGAAGAGGATGAGTTGGGGTTGAAAGAGAAGGTTTGGATTGAATCTAAGAAGCTATGGGTTGTGGCGGCGCCGGCGATCTTCACAAGATTCTCTACGTTCGGAGTTTCGATGATAAGTCAAGCTTTCATCGGTCATCTCGGTCCTATCGAGTTAGCCGCTTACTCCATCACCTTCACCGTTCTCCTCCGTTTCAGTAATGGTATTCTGGTAATTAAGGCTTTAATCACTCTTCCTCTCTGTTTATAATTAATTATTGGGGACTAATACGTTGAAAATACGCATCTACTATAGTTGTAATACTATAATCACTAGACTTAACCCGATTTTGATTCGTCATTAACGATTTAAAATCATTTGTGTTACAAGAGTTTTGATGGTAAAACATTCTCCACATAGCTAGGCAATGTGGAGTACTGTGTTTGTTTTTTCTTGTCGTCATGTGGTACTATTTCTATTTCAATAAATTGAGGTGCGTTAATTTAAGGAATTAATAATAAAAACCTCTCGCAGAAATAGACTTGAACCCACAAGAGTAAGCAGTGATGTCAGCTTATTTGACCCCTGCCACATAAATATGTGATGATAGATTGTAGTACCATATCATTAGATTGCTAGGAAAGGTAAAAGGTAGAATGAGATAGAAAGTTAGAAAATGTAAATTGTTAGCAATAAAAAGGAATGATACATGATATTAAAATAGTTAGAAATGTTAAGAAAATAGCGATATATAGAAAAAAAATCTGAATATACCGTTTTGGTATTGCTAATTGATATTGTTTTCATTATTGACAACTAATACCATTAAACCGATATACACTGAATTGTAACGAGAAAGAGTTACCAATCAAACATAAAGATAAGTTTTTTTTTTAACTAGCTAGTAGTATGGATTACCAAATTAGAAATAAAAGTACTTCCAGAACAGTTTACTGCAAACTCTAACATACTTTTTTATATCAATAAAAAGTTCCCACGTATTATTGTAGTTAGAACTTAGTACTAATTATTTATCACTAATAAAATAAAACGTGTCTTTTTCAATAATAATTGATGTAGACCACTGATTATATTTTCCTCTCTGACCGAAAGTTGTAATAAACATAAACCATTTCGTCTTCATGTGATTGCACTCTAGTATGTGGTGGTTTCGTTTTCTAGAATCACTGAATTGACAAGTACAATTCTCTTTATACATAATTACTACCACATTTATAATATATAAAAAGGTTTGTTCTAAGGTTCTATCTAATTAAAATAGATTAAAAACAAATTTAAGTTCAATAATATAGTCAAAAGTTTTTAATAAAAATAATATAGTAAATAATTAAAGACGATAATTTCAATATCCTTATGAAAAATGACGTGAATGGTTTTTTTATAAAAATAGTCATCAAAACTAGCTATTATATTATATATGATCAAACATGTTGTTACAAAAAATCATTAATGGCTAAAAATAGAAATTATGTTTGAGAAAAGATAAAAGATAGACGTTTGGTTTTTGTATTTGAGCATTTGTCGTTTACGGAGATACATTTCATTCTGACCTGATTACTAATAAAAGAAGAGGTGAAGAAAAAGTGAGTATTGCAAAAGATAAATTTGTCCACGTGATTGACAAAAATTCATTGGCAGTCCAAATCGCAGGCCACCACCAGTAGGGTTTTGTGTCGTGATGTGTGTTGCTTTCTTTTAAATGTTTTTCGTTTTTTAATTTGAACAATCCAAGAATACAATTACTTTTTCAAGCTTTTTGCCCATACACTGGACGGAGTCGCGAAAGTAACATCTACTGGTTTTAGTTTTGCTTTGCTCGCACCTTGAAAAAATATAGATATAATTTGTTCTATATGCTATGATCATTCAACGTACTAGTTGGCTTTGAGAGAACTCAAAACCGTTAATCATATGAAACTATGCAGATAACTAAATTTGAAATTTGTACCTAATTAACCATTATGCAGTTAGGAATGGCTAGTGCTCTAGAGACATTATGTGGTCAAGCCTATGGAGCAAAACAAAACCATATGCTTGGAATCTACCTTCAAAGATCATGGATCGTCCTCACAGGTTGTACCATTTGCCTCACGCCCGTGTACATTTTCTCAGGTCCAATCTTCTTAGCCTTAGGTCAAGAGGAACGAATTGTCCGTGTGGCTCAGATCATAGCTCTATGGGTCATAGGGATCAACTTCTCCTTCGTACCATCCTTCACTTGCCAAATGTTTCTCCAAGCTCAGAGCAAGAACAAGATCATTGCCTACGTGGCTGCTGTCTCCTTAGCTGTCCATGTCTTCTTATCGTGGCTTCTAATGGTTCATTTCGATTTTGGAATCACTGGTGCTATGACCTCGACGCTAGTTGCGTTCTGGTTGCCTAACATTGCGCAGCTCTTGTTCGTCACGTGTGGTGGGTGTAAAGACACATGGAGAGGATTCTCTATGATGGCTTTCAAAGATTTATGGCCCGTATTCAAACTATCTCTATCTTCAGGTGGAATGCTTTGGTAAGTTCCTTACCTTTTTTATATACTATTAAGAAATGTCTCATCAACAAAATTTACATTGACATCAGGGTCTTATAAGTGACAATTTCATAGTAATATAGGTTTACTTTTACTTTTTTCATATTGGTATTTAAAAAAAAGATTGATTTCCACTTGGCCAGTGTTGTAGTTTTCTGGCTGCAACTCATATAATCTATTAATTGGTCTAGCTAGGATTTGATCCTAAAGTTTTGGCTACAACAGGATGTCAATAAAAAAGTTTTATAGGTAAGCGAGAGTGTGAGACGAAGTTTTGAAATAGTAAGAATTAAGTCAAAACAACCGGCTCTTAAGAATTACAATGAACTTTGAATGAATCGAATCCTATAAGAATACTAATTTTAAACAATAGTTACCTTTACGCATATATATGTATATATGCATATTGATGATTTTATAGTATTACAATAATTATTACTTTGTGATCGTTATTTTGCACAAGTCAAAAACCACATGCTCTTTCGTGAGGAGTGACGTTGTTAAAGTCTGATAACTTTTTAAAATAAATCGATTCGTGTACGTTAGATTATCTCCAAAGTATCGTTCCTTTTACGCATATATACATATGTGTTTATATTGAGAATTTCATAACATAATAATATAATTATCTTTGGATGGTCGTTTATTTTGGACAGCTTGGAATTATGGTACAACTCGATCTTGGTACTGCTCACTGGAAATTTGAAAAACGCAGAGGTGGCTCTTGATGCACTTGCAATATGGTAAATAACAAGATTTGACCTTTTGTCTCTTCTCATCTCCATAACAAATACCTTTTCAAACATTTTTACATTTTATTTTAATTCTCTTATGGGTTGACATATAATAATAGATACTCCGTACTATATAAATATTTACAATCGACTCTTCATTCCCAATTTTTTTGTAGCCTCAATATAAATGGACTGGAGATGATGATAGCACTTGGGTTTTTGGCAGCGGCAAGGTACAACATACACATATATTCATACCAACACATTTTAACATCATTATATAATCATCTTATTCTTCTTTTTTAATTATGTATAAAAAAAATAGTGTAAGAGTGTCCAACGAACTCGGTAGTGGAAACCCGAAGGGAGCCAAGTTTGCAACATTGACAGCAGTTTTCACCTCACTCTCTATAGGAATAGTTCTATTCTTCGTCTTCTTGTTTCTACGAGGAAGAGTTTCATACATTTTCACTACAAGTGAAGCTGTAGCAGCAGAAGTAGCTGATCTTTCTCCACTTTTAGCCTTTTCTATCCTCATGAACAGTGTTCAACCAGTTCTCTCCGGTATGTAAATTTTTTGCTATATAATTAGGTGTGATGGTTATTGATATCGAACCGATCTTTGAAGTAGCATTTGTCTTGAAACCGGTTTAAACCGGAACAGGAGTTGCAGTTGGAGCGGGATGGCAAGGATATGTTACTTATGTTAACCTTACTTGCTATTATCTTGTCGGAATTCCCACTGGTGTTTTCCTTGGTTATGTCGTCGGTTTGCAAGTTAAAGTTAGTTTTTCTTTTCACCTTCTTAATTTATTATTAATGGTCTTGGATACAAGAAGCTGTAAAAGTAATAAAATTTTACAATTGAAACTTAACATAAAGTTTATTTTCTTTGAATTTTAGGGTGTGTGGATTGGAATGCTCTTTGGAATATTTGTTCAGACGTGTGTGCTTACCATCATGACTCTGAGAACAGATTGGGATCAACAGGTTTGAAATTGATTAGTATATTATTTTTTCTTTGGATTAATTTTAAGAAACAGAAACGTCTTTCTAACAAGATACAGTAGTTGGTTTGTTCAAGCTATATATAGCTATGTGTGTTGGAGCTTATACTGTTTGTTGCCAATTTTTTTAGGTTTCTACGTCTTTGAGACGTTTGAACCGGTGGGTTGTACCAGAATCTAGTGCCGTAAACAAAACTTCATCAGGGGAATAATTAATTTGGATTCTGTAAATTCTCATAAGAAATCATGTCTTTATTCATAAGAATAATTGCAACTTTTAAAAGGCTGTAAGGACAAGAGTGATTCAGTTTGATGTTTTCGTGGCTAACTTAGTAACTCGTAATACGATCTTAATTTTTGAATTAACAGTAGTGGTACGTGATGTTAGAATTCAAACAGATCAGATCATCTAGGGACCTATGGTATAATAATAAGGAAATCGGAATATGAATTATTATATATTATTTATTTTGTTTTTTGGTTAAAAGGTTTTTTTTTTATATTAGAATAAAAACGAATGTTACAAAAAAAGCAAATAGAACTATTATAGCCAACGAAAAAAACTTGACCGATCATAGACCAACACTGAAGATTGAAGTATCTCTACTTGAACCCATATGAATAAGAGTTTGACATTTATCCTTTATTGTAGAGAGTATTAACTCCAGCATCTTTCTGATTGAGAGTGTTTCCTTTATGGAATAATACTCCAGCATCTTTCTGATTGAGAGTGTTTCCTTTATGGAATCTATGATTTCTTTTTTGCCACAGTTCGAAAACACTAATAAAGCAAGTTTGGACGATTCATCTGATGTTGTAGATGGCAGCCAAAGAAGAATTTACTGCCATTGATGTAGAAGACCTCTGATGTTAAGTTTTAACGTGATTCTTCTCCAAACTTCCACCGAGAAAGAGCACTTGAAGAACAAGTGATCCCATGTGTCTCGTCGTCTGAGCCACAAAAGAGACAAATACCCTCTGTATCATAACCCCACTTCAACGAACGGTCAAGAGTTAGGTCTCGATTGAGAATAAACAGCCACATAACGATGCCGAAAAATTTATTATTTATTTGAATTATCATTTGACAATATAAAACTAATGCAATGAAAAAGGTGAAATAGGGTAAGAAATTTGTGTTAGTCAGAACAGTACAAAGCAGTACAAATAAAAGAAAAGAGATGATGATATGACATAATTTGGGATAGAGTTTGTATAAATTTTACACAAAAATATGATAACCACTTTAATGTGTTTTTAATTATATATTCGATGTCAAGCTTTCTCCTACCCATGAATATTATCAATAAAATGACAAGCGCAATCTCATGGTTTTGGTGGAGCATGAAATCTAATAACCGTGGTCTTCATTGAATAATATGGGACATAATCTGCATTCCACATAATAAATAGGAGTTCGACTTGAGAGACTTGAAAAACTTCTATTTGGCTTTCCTTATCAAGCAAGTATAGAGATTATTATGTTTTCTGGACTTTCTCTGATTTAAAGTTTTAAAAGAGAGATATTTCAGATATTCTAATCCGTTGAAGGTAGAAAAATTAAATGCCTCGATTATGAATGGAAAAGCATAATGGCAGCAAAACATGATTATGAAAGCAGATTAAGTCTGGTTTTAATACCAAAGCTTAGAGTGATTGATGGATCTCAATTATCCCAGTATGTCCGCTGATAGGAATCATTAATATCCAAGACGAAAATCTGTATATAAACCATCTAATCAACTTTGATTCGAAAACGTGGAAGGAAGACAAGCTACACGAATTGAATTGTATCTCCAAATTCAAACCATTTCGAATTGTCATATCAATGAGATTCTGATGTTGTTAAGGTTTGAAGACGGGTATACTAATAATTATGAACTAGAAGTCATGCCCCCATTACAGAGATCAAATATTGACTCATAATCATATTCAATACCATCTAACTCAAACTCAATATGCGATGAAAAATAATGCAGGTAAGCACGTACATGATCATAAGATTATAATAAAAGATTTATGGGAGGAGGGTGTATTTAACTTAACATCTTAACTATTATTTGAGAAATATATTTACTAAAAAAATATGATGTGTCATCATCTCAAAAATTAGTGCAAAACAATGCCACCTCATAAATGTGACATGACAAATTTTAAAAAATAAACAAAATATTTTGATTGATTAAGTTAAAACTAAATAAGTCTATTGTTTATATAAGAAAATTTTATATCATATATGAATGAATTTTCATTATATATCAAGAATTTGAAATTATAAGTAAAATAAAAAAATAAACAGATAGAAAAATAGATTATAAGAATCCTGTTAGCTAACCTTTTTTTTATTATATTACTATATATATGAATTTTAATTCAACCAATCAAAACATTTCGTTTATTTTAGGAAGTTTGACATGTCACATTTACATGTCATCAATTAAAAGCACTAACTTTGGCTGTAGTGTTGACAAGTCAGTTTTTTTCAATAATGTTACTTCTCAAATAATATGTGGTGGATTGACAAGATTATATTATGTAAAGAGAAAAGAAAGTATTATATAGATAATTTTCAAAACATATTATAATAATTAAATTATTATTTAATATAACTTTATATTTGCAATTATATGTTACCGTAAACGCTAGAAAAAAAAAATTAAAAGACACAAAACGATATGAAATATTTGTGTGATTATTGTTGAACACTAAAATTGTATATGTATAAAAACATAACATTTACATAATATATAAGCACATCTATAAAAAATTATACTTGCACATGCATATGCATGCGGACCCAAAATAAAAATCAAATAAATTAATATATATTTTAATGTTTTCCCGTTTGTTTAGTTATCATATATACATTTTTTATCCAAAGAAATATTTTTAAATATTAGTTAATATTTTTTATCTTCATTTTCTATTGAAATATATAGTATTTTTAATTAATTTATTGTTATTTTTATTATCAAATACATAATTAATCATATATAAATAAAACATCTTCAATACTATTTTAATAATAATTAAACATATAAAATGTTTTATAGCCTGTACACAGTGCAAGCCGATCACCTAGTTTGAATTTTTTTGGAAGAATTTGAGTTTTAATGAGTCTTTAAATGATTTGATTGAGTTATGAAAACTATATTGTTAGTTGAGAAGCAAGTTGAGCTGTGGTTGAGAGTTATAATTGTTGATTACTATTTGCCCCTTATATGAAAAAACTTTATTTATCCTTAATAAAATTAACAAATTAATGTAATATAATTTTTAATTGATTTTCATTTTTTTAAAAATCTAGATTTCCAAATTCGAGTTTATATCATAAATATATTCAGTTTACTTAAAAAGGTAACTAGCATAAATTACAAAAAAATTAGTCTTAATTATTTTCTTAAACTAATTTTAATTTGATTGTTTAACTTAATAATATTTTTGACTAACTTAATTGATTTATGCGGTCACAAGTAAAACTCTAGATCTTTTAGTTTTTTTTTTAAAAACTCTATATATATTAATTAATGTTAAGTTAATATGAAACAATGATCATTTGGTTTTGGTCATTTTGGATTGATATATATTTGTTTTAATGCAAACTTTGAATTTCATTAATCTTAATATGCCAATTTACACCAAAAAAAGAATTATTTATCATGTTTGATAAATGCAACAAAACAACAAAGCATACATATAAATTTTTATCGGATAATATAAAATATATTAGAAAATAAGATATAAATAATATATTTTGCTTTATCACAAAAAAATACACATGAAAATTGTATTTTTTAAATATATTAATTTTGGTTTCGAGTAATATTAAATCTAATTTTTTATTTATTAATAAATTAATATTATTACTTTTTATAATTTTTTAATCAAATCCTGCACAAGGTGCAGAGAAATACCTAGTTGTTATGATTTGATATCAAAATTCTATCAAACTCTATCTAAAACCATAAGATTTGGATTATTATATTTTAACTAAGAAATTCTATCAAAACATCTTAAAACCACTTCAAGCTTTTTAACATCCACTAGTTAAATTATTTTCAATAACAGTGAATTTAAAGATTTATTTTCAAACAATTAGTTCAATAACACTAAATTTTAAATAATTTTTTAAAATTTATGTTTCAATAACAGAAGATTTATAATTTTAACATAAGTCACTCTAAATTTTATTTTGAATACACCCCCTTAATGTTAGTTAAGCTGTGTCTTTTCCGCAAGCAGTTTGTGACTATAAGAACATGTTAGAAGTTGGCAGCAAAGTAAAATACATATTTCTTTCAAGATTTCTGTAAGTCTTTCTTATCATTCGTTCATCAATTTAGATTATAGAACCGGGAAACACATATTATTAGCGTATCCAAAATGGGCTAGATGAGCGGGCCGGCCCATTTGTTAAACTGAGAAAACGATTAGGGTTTCCGTCTCTCTGACTTTAATAACAAAAAAACGCGGCGCCGGTGAGCTAGAGCGAGAGAGCTTGAGGGAAAAAAAAAAAGTTGGAGAAGATGAAGACGATTCTTTCTTCGGAGACGATGGACATTCCCGACGGCGTTAGCATCAAGGTTCACGCTAAAGTGATTGAAGTGGAAGGACCTCGCGGCAAACTCGTTCGCGATTTCAAGCATCTAAACCTCGATTTCCAGCTTACCAAGGACGAAGAGACTGGAAAACGGAAGCTTAAGATCGATTCGTGGTTCGGTTCGCGCAAAAGCAGCGCCTCCATCAGAACCGCTCTGAGCCACGTCGATAACCTCATCTCCGGTGTCACCAGAGGTTTCCGATACAAGATGAGGTTCGTGTACGCCCATTTTCCCATTAACGCCTCCATCGGCGGCGACAACAGGTCCATCGAGATCCGTAACTTCCTCGGTGAGAAGAAGGTTTGTTTCCTTACCCTGATGATAGATTCAATTTTATTTTCGAAAATGTTGATTTTGTGTTTTGAACACTCAGCTTAGATGTGAATGTGGTATATTGGAACAACAGGTGAGGAAGGTAGATATGTTGGATGGTGTAACCATTGTTCGATCTGAGAAAGTGAAGGATGAGATTGTTCTTGATGGAAACGATATCGAGCTTGTCTCGAGGTCATGCGCTTTGATCAACCAGGTAACGCTCTAACTAGCAAGAAGATAGAAAATTCGTGTTTCATGAACTGAAACTTGAGTGAACATATATCCTTGAATCTCTATAGAATGTGTCAAACTACGAAAAGACTTGAGATAACTTTGCTGTTGAGTTTAGGAGATTTCTTGCTTGATGTTTGAATTTTAGTATCAAATTGAATAGTGATGACATTTTGCATTGCGAAACCACTTTAATTACGCATCTGCAAAAGGGTCTTCTTTTGTAATCGCTATTGTGTTTGTGTAATTTGCAGAAATGTCACGTGAAGAAGAAGGATATCAGGAAGTTCCTTGACGGTATCTATGTTAGCGAGAAGAGCAAGATCGTTGAAGAGGAATAGACCTAACTATTCTCATAGCTCTCCACTTTCTTGTTTCCTTTTGGATGTTTTGTTTTGTATTACAAACCAAATCCAAATCCAAATCCAACGGTGTTGCAAAACTAGACTTATCACTTGTTATGTTTTTGTTCGAGATTTTCATTTACTTATTATATGCACAAGTTTTGGAGGCTACAATCTTTTACCCTTTTCATTCGGACGATTATCGAATTGATACACAAGTCTCGCTCAGGTCATTATCAACCTCCCACGGTGCTACACCGAAACCTGTAACAGAGTTAATTGTCAGTTGTCACTAAGCCGAAAATTTTGAAGCATTTTGATACATTACCAAAAATCAAAGGAAAAAAAAAGTAAAGCAAGAGAAAAAGGGACCACGAGGCAATAATGGAGACACACTAGAGACTTCTTCTCTTCCTTTTTATTCGTCCTTATAGATTCCTTCACTAGACAGACTTCTCTCGAAGCTTTCTCTTTCTCCGTCATTGCAATTTCTGATCTCTGCGTTAGCTACAGTAAGTTCATTTCTATTGTTCTTCCTTTTTTGAGCTCGTTATACTTTACATCAGTCTTTGCTATCTGTTTTTGACTTGATGGTCACTCTCTTCTTGATAAATATGATCATTTACTTATACTTACCTTTCTATTATTGATCCAACTGATCTTTCGTTGTTGTTTCCTCTGATCATGGAAACTTCTACCAAAATCCCGATTCGCTTTGTATGTCTTTTAATTCTGTTATGATATTCGTTTTCGTGGCTCTTCTTGTCGAATTCTAATCCTTATCATAATAAAATCATTTTCTTATCATAATAAAGTCGAGTGTTAATGTTCTATTAACTCTATATATCTTTTGATTTTCAAAAACTTCATTCGTGGTTGTATTTACTATATGTGTAAATATGGTATCAGAGACCTATAGCAATATGAGTTTTAGCTCTTATCTTCTCTAGAAATAATACTATATCAATGAGTTGTCTTTTAAATATCAATTAGTATGAAACAGTTCTATGCTGAACCTCTAAGATATTTTATTGACTAGAGTTGTGAGATGAAGATGATAATTAGTAAGAGAGCTGTTAGAAAATTTATCTCCCTATAAAAATCGTGTTGATAAAAATCGTATTGATAAACCAGAATGCTCAACCATAAATTTGGAGCAGAATGACATACTTATGATGATAGAAAGTAATTAAAATGTATGAAGATGTTAAGAAATATGGAAACAAAAAAGTTTTTAGATATTTATTTTTTGAAAGAGAAATTTGGAAAGAGGAGATTTTTTAAAAAAATTTTGAAGTGTTTGATTACAATAGGGGTACACACATATATATAGAAGATGAATGATGCACTCACATAAGCGTTTGTATAATTCTTAATTATTTGTGTGATTACATCATCGCTTACATTAATCCTATATTATTTGTGCGATTACATCATCGTTTACATCATCATCATCGTCTACTTACTTAAACATATTTATTAATAATTATATATAATAATTATACACCATCGAATTCCTCTTTGGTAGTTGTTATGGTTGATGAGTGTGGGTAGTGCAAGAAGCTTGTTGGACTTGATGTTGACTTGAACAGGTCGATGGAAGAAGTCTATTGTATGGGGGTTGAAGAAATAATTAAGACCTCCTTGACCTTTTAATTTTTTGAATGGTAAATTTGTTGCTTTTGTTGATCTTCTTAATTTTCCGCACCAGATGGTTAATGATGCAAACCATGTCAAGAAAGTCGAGAGACATCCCCTTTGATCTTGCTGGGCATTGAGGTATTGATACAGCCATCCTATGTCAAAGGTACTGCCAATGGTGTAAACTGAGTAAAGATACCAAAGGAAACATATGACTTCTTCTGGCATATTTGAATTTTTGATCCCGTAGAGGTGAGCGAACGGATAGTCCAGGTGGATCCCCATTGGTGCGATGTAATGACAATTGATGCCGTGCATTGATAGAATGATGGACTGATATTCGAAGATTTTTTGTTGATGATGCTCATGTAAATTGTTTCTCTCGATTAGCTGATGAGTGTCTTCGGGCATGTTGGCTTCAAAGTCGTAATAGCTTTTCTCTGATGTAGACAAGCTCGCCACCATATGAATTTCTTTTAGTGGTTTTCTGCTAAACATGTCTGCTAAAGTATTATTTTTGCCCTTTAAATAGAAGGATTCAAAGTCGTACTCTGAAAACCATTCGCTTCATCATAATAACTGGGGACCATATTTTGCTTAAATTGTAACATTGGGAAAGAAGACATACCCATTTTGATGCGAAATTTATGTCCTATCAGATGAAACTCAAACTTGATGGCTTTCTTGACTGCTAGGATTTCTTTGAATGTGGAGTGTTAATACATTTCTGTATATTTAAAACGTCCATTTTTATATCCATAGATTTGACGTTTTCCATTTATTTTCGAATAATATAGCTCTCCAATATTTGTCACTCGTGTCAGTCTGTAGAATACATGTCCCCGAGGAGGGAAATTGTAAATGTGGTAGCTTCGGTTTGTCGTTTTGTCCATTATGGTGGATTCTTCATCAATATTTTCTGGAGTGGTCTTGTCAACTGTGAAAGTTGCGGGGTAAAGTCGCTTACATAATTAATTACTCCAAGAAATTGATGAACATAGTTTTTTATGAGATTTTCTTCCAGAAAATCGAGAAGAGTTGTAGCGAGATGAGACTGTGGTGTAATCTGTCCATTTGTAATCTGCATTTCAAGGATTTCAATGTTGGGCTTGCCAGTGATCATCTTTCGGGCCGATAGCATAATTTCATATTTTTTTATTATGCTTTGAAACCGCTTGAGAGACTGAATATGTTCTTTGTCAGTTGAAGAGAACAAGAGAATGTCATTGATGTATATTAAAGCCGTGTGGAGGAGGGGCTTGAATATTCGTAACATTGCTTACTGGAACAGTGAAGGTGCAGTCTTTAGACCGAAAGGCAGAACACTCCATTGAAGATGGTGATTTGGCAGTCAAAATGCCGCAGTGTATCTTTCTTCCGGATGAATTCCAAGTTGCCAGAAGCACGATTTGAGGTCAAATTTTGAAAATATTGTTGCTCCTTGGAGATATTGTAGAAGGGCCTTCTTGTTTGGTAGAAGAAATTTGACGTCTTGAAGATATTGGTTTAAGGGCTTGTAGTCGATAACTAGTCTGAGCTTCGCCCTTGCTTGTTCCGTCTGATTGTTGACATAAAATGCTTTGTGCGACCATGATGAATTTATTGAAAAAATGATTCCTTAATTTATTAGTTAGTCACATTTCTGTTTGCTCGTTTAACAAAGTAGGTGGCATCCCTGCATGACTCGCTCTTGTTGGAGTGATGTGAACATTTTCTTCGAAAGGTGATTACCACAAAGAACTTGGAATTCAGCCACAGTGGATTATTAAATTTTGAAGGAAGTCTGTATGAAAATATGCACAAGACATTGTAAAATTTTCTTTATTCATATTAAATTCTTGAGGCGCCACTTGTTCAATTGTGAATATGCGAGGTATTGTTGTGAAAGATTTGTTGAGAGTCTTCCATCTCATTCCCCGTGGTTTGAGTGAGATATCGAACCTTTTCTTCAATGCATAATATGTATCTCATCCCGTTATTAGATCTTTTCTAGGTGCAGATGAACCAAGAACTTCAGTTATAGTTTGACATCCTGGGAGGAGTTCTATAGTTATTGGTTTTAACCTGAGCTTAACCGATAGTGAGCTGGCGTTTGTGACTTAAAATTCTTGTTGGTGTGGCAGCCACATAAATGGCGGAAGAACTTTGAGATTTATTATCAATGAAAGAGCACCGTGTCAATAAACGCAATGGCATGAACTGGGTCTTCCCTTCGTGTTGGGTCAAAGATTATGACTGGCAAGTGTGGTGTTTGTATCTCATCCTGTCGTGGTATTTGAGTAATTTTGAAGCAACATTCTTCTTCATCTTCTCTATATGATGATTTAAATGAATTATCTGAATCTGAATAGCCGCAGATAACATCCTTGTCGTCACTAGCGATAGAACAGACTAAAGATCATAGTTGTCGAGATCGATATCTGGTGCTATATTGGATATCGTGTTTATGATATATTGCTTCGTTTTCCTCGATTTGTTTGGACAACTTTTTTGCGAAATGTCATTCCTTACGGCATATAAAAAATCTTGTTGTTTTCTCGAAGCTTCATTTTTTTTTCTGAAGAATCGTTAGCATCTGTTTTGTAGAAGCGCCTTTGAAATGGTCTTCTAAACCTTCAAGGTTTGCTTCGAGGATCATATGAACAAGTCTTTTTGGATTTTGAACACTAGATTGATATATCTGGTCTAGGACATATTTTGGATAGTTGCTTTGATTTGTCCATGAATTCCATCTGAAACTCTTTTTGCTTGCAAAGCTTGTCGAGTGTTCTAAAGACGTATTGTTGAATTTAACCAATAGAGACATCTTCAATTGTTTGCCCTTGGTCTCTGATATGCGAATTAGTTTGTTGACTCAGATAGTCATCTATGGAGGAAAGATAAACTTGCTTTAAGCTTGGGTTATTGAGGACGTTGAGTTCATAATATCTCTGCGTTTATCGTTCAAAGTGCTTTGCCAAATCTTTTATCTTTGATGAACAACATTTTGCCGTGAAGATTTCTTCTTGGAGTTGTTCTTTAAGATGAGTAGGTGTATCGATGAATTCTCTGTGATTTCTCCCAAAAGCAACATAATTGTTGTTTGATAGACTTGTTGCTGTCGGTATTCACCAAGTGAATTCCACTATTCTTTAAGTGCTCCGGATACCCGTTCTGTAAATAGTTGAATAACAAGCTCTAATGGTGATTTTATGACTTCTGAATTCATCCATGCATGAAATTCGTCAAGTCGATCATTCCATTTCTCAAAGGAAATGTCATCGGATGTGAATATCATAACTTTTGAAGCGAACTGCTTTGATGGCATTTCTTGATATCTGGGGCGTGTGTAATCCATCTCTTCATTAATTGAAAAGATTTCATTTATATTTGGTTCTCTCTTTGGAGTAGTTGATGAATTTAAATCAAATATAAATAATTTTTTTTCAAGTGATGAGGAGATAGAGTACACACGCCTCAAATATCAAGAAATGCCATCAAAGCAGTCCGCTTCAAAAGTCATGATATTCACATTTGATGACATTTTTTTTGAGAAATGGAAAGATCGACTTGACAAATTTAATGCATGTATGATTTCAGAAGCCATAACATCACCATTAAAGCTGGTTATTCAACTATTCACGACACGGCTATCCAGAGCACTT